CTCTCCCTGTTTTCCTTTCCTTTCTTTTCCCTTCTTTTTAGCTTTGTACATCCTTTCCATCTCTCAACTTTCCTTCCATAGATTGTTTTTGCCTATATGATAGGTGCTAAAGGGCTGATCGATAGCAAACGAAGACCTGAAGTTTTAAAACTCTTAAGAAACTGATCAGGAATGAAATGGCCATGGTATGGAAAGTGGAGGTAAAGAGCTTGTGTGGTGTTCTCGAGTACCTGAGGAGTTCAGTGGCTGGGTCAGTGTTCAGCAGGATGTGGGGAGGTAAAAAACCATCACTAATCATCCCATACACATCACTTATTTTTTGAATGTTTTCATGACCCGAAGAGCAGAAGGACAATTTTGAAAGATCATAGCTTCGGTTCCAGGGTCTGTGAAAACCACTGATGTCCACTAGCCCTTCCCTCCCTGCTCCTCCACCCCCTCACTGTTCTGGCTCCTGCTCTCCTCACCCTTTGCCAAGATGTTTCAACGCTCTCAGCTGGGAACAAAACTAACCTGACAATAAGAAGTCTTTTTTCCTCTTTTTTTCCCCTTTTTTTCTGGGATACGTGCCGAAAGGGGGCACAGAGGGTGGAGGCAGCGAGTGCCTGGAGGCTGGGACCTCAGTGCCAGAAGCCTGGGGAGGGTGCGCACTGCTCCCCCTGGGCCAGCTGTGACCTGGTCAGAGGGGAATGGTGTGGGTTCCTGTGTCCCCCTCAGGGGCAGCGTGGGGTGGGCAATGGCTCCAGGTTGAGCTGTTGCCTCTGCAGATTGGAGCTAGGAGCAGCTTTTGCTATTTACGGAAGGGATTAGGGTTGTGCGGAGAGCAAACAGCCGTAGCCGGGAGCACAGCGGTTGTCACAAACACCTTAATTGCCTGCAGCTAGATGGGAGGCAGCTCCTCCCAGGCTTAATAACACAGGCATGGGGAAGGCAAACCTGTCAACAGTGGGCTGGCCCCCCTCCTATGCTCTATCTGTCACAGTGCTTGGGGGTTTCCAGAGCTGAACAGTACTTTGGAGAGGTTACTGGATGTGTACGTACTATAGCGTTGCTTTGCGCCTTCCTCTGAAGCTCATGGCTCTTCATAAGGTAGCGGACAACGCAGAGCTTATGGCACTTCACATGGAGTTGTCCATGCAGAAATTGCACCAGGTCAGTTTTACCAGAATTGCCATTTTAATCTGTTCCTCTTTGCTATCTATGCAAATACCGGCATGCCAATACAGGAGGGATCCACAGTCACCTCACTCTGAGGCTCCTTTCACGTCTCTCTAAATTACACTCGTTTCTCCAGCGCACGAAACAAAACCAGCCCCTCACAAAATAAACTGATCTTTGTTAGCTGACAGCTTTATGGAAGTGGGAGGCCTTTGTGCATGTTTGTGTGCTCGCGCTCGGTGCCGTGATCTTGGATCACCACCTGCTGTCTGCTGAAAGAATTCATCCGAAATCGCATTTGCGGAACCACGTTGTGTTGGTTGAGGCGTCCCTGGCTTCCTCCCCTCTGCGAGGTACCGCTACGCCTGTTTGCGTCTCGCCTGGCTGCTTAGCTTGGAGCTGCAGAGCTCGTTAATTAAGGTACGTGTGCATCAGCTCTTAAAAATGTGTCCCTGTTTAGGATTTTTCGCTGGCTTAGCTGAATTGTTTTTTCAAACAAAGCATGGGTTGAGCTGCAGGTGAAACCACAGCCCAAAGAAGGGAAGCTGACACCTCGAGGCATAGCCGTAGCTCTGGTGGTTTGGGAACCCAGGCTGGTGTCCCGTGTCCTGCTGGTGCACTGCGCAGGGTGTGCTGGTGAGACCAGTGTCAGAGCTCTGTAGGAAGGCAGCTGCTCTGAATCCCTGCCTTCTGTGCGAGTGCTTCCTGTGGGAGCCTGAGAGCTGAGTGAGTATACAACATAGGGGTTTCTGGTTTTCTTTGAACTGTAAGTTACTTGTCGTACTGAGACTTTTTCCCTTTCTGAGGGGTGTATGTTTGGTTAATTGTTCTGAGTTACAGTTGTGTTGAACAGCCCGACCCTGCTTGGTAGGCATGGGATGGCAGCTAGTGGTGGTATGAACTCATATCTGCTAACCTGGAGCTGCCAAAATTGTTCCTGCAGCCGGATGTCCCTCAGGCTTCCTTCCTGGAGCCCACCATCCATCTTGTGTTGTGGCTGCGAGAAGTCTGTCCGAGCCTGGACGTTAATTAGGTTCATTTTATGCTATCGCACAAGTTGATAACAGCAGTAATTAGTGGGAACTGCAGCTGAGCTTTCTTTGTCCCGCGATGGCATCTGTGCGTGCATTTGGGGATGGTGACTACTCTTTGACATATTCATCTCAGTCTGTCGGTGTTGAGTCATGATGCTGAGAGGTTCACGAGCTAAATCAGGCAGCGCTGGTAGTGCAGGGAGGCATGTTGTTGAGATAGGATAGACAAAATACTTCTAGCTCGGCTCTCTTGGTTGCATCTCCCTCCCGCATGCCTTCACTGAGGGTTTTCTTGAACCTCTTCGTACCTCTTGGGATGTGGGAAAATCAGCGCTTCTGACTGCACGACCTTCCGCAAAGGGTTGGAGGTAGGGAAAGGAGTTCAGGTTCTGTGTTGGAACATAAATGGGATTTTTTGTGCGTGTTCTTGAAAATACAAAGCGTTGGGTAAATGCTGAAATTGGGCAGAGTGACAGAAGAGGGAGAGTATCAGTACACCATGAAACCTGCAGGGAACACATTAGGTGTTCCCTTCACAGACACGAGTGGGGGCAGGAAGAAAGCACTGAAGGAAATTAAAATGTTAAAAAGTAATTAGACAGGAAATGTGTAAATAATCATAGCTAGAGGAAAAATAATTTCAGATACAGGTACTCCTTTGGATAGTGAAAGCTGGACAAGCATAATAGCAATAGATTTATTGATAACCTGAGGCGTGATTTCTGCATTTTAGTGTATTTAATATTATTATAAATATGAGATTAGAAAAAAAAAAAAATCCCTGAAGTTAGAATGGTATTAAAACACTGCATTCTGCACTAAAAATCCCTTATTTAAAAATCTTAGGAAGGTCAGAGAGAAGTAATAAATAAAGTTGTCAGGCTGTTTTGGCTTGTGAGATGTGATTAAACTTAAAATAAATGTGTTATCAAAACACCACAAGAAATCGGGGGGAGAGAGAGAGAGCGATAGCATTTTTCATCCTTCAAACACTTGTAGATAATCGAAGAAGGGAGAGAAAATATTTAAAAGGTTGAAAAGCATTTGAACTAGAAGGGGCGCAGTGTTAACTGAGGGAGGGGGGAATGTTGGAAATATGGTGATACGAGGTTTGTGGGCTGGCATTTTAAGCAGTCGAGGGGTGAGATTAAACAAAATGCTGGAGTATGTCCTTTAGGGAGCAACCCCACACTGTTGGGAAGAACGCACAATAAGTTTTGTTGGTGGCTAATTAGAGGTTGGAGATTCATGATCCTTGAGGTCCCTTCCAACCCTGGTCATTCTGTGATTCTGTGATTAGCATTCTTTTCCTGCTATCAGGGGGACCACGGGCTTGTCAGTCTGGATTGTTCTGAGAAGATTGGAAATAGTTTCTGCTGTGGCATCTTCCCAGAAAACTCAGACAGTTTAGTATTTAGATCCAGTGTTAAACGGTTGATGTTAAGCTATGATTAAAATGAAAGAAACAGGCAGACCTGAGCTGTATGGAAACATGCTAGAGATTGGGTATAACAAAGTGCTGGTAAGGTTCTGGGCATGGCTGAGGCTGCCTGCAACTCCCCACTGCTGGGACTGGACAGGTAATAGAGTAAGCACAAATGAAGCAGGATCAGCCCTAATCTGGGGAGCAAACTCAACTCTTCCAGGAAACGTGGCCCTGGGCAGGCAGTCCGAGCACTGAGCAGACCAAGTAGGCTGGGGACTGGGCCGACACCTGAAGGAGCAGTGAGGTTGTGGTTGTCATCTAGGCTGGGAAGGGAGGGCTGCAGGCAGGGGAAGAGAGCGGGAGGTCTGTGTGCTCTCTGCTGAAGATTGCTCGGTAATTTCCCCTCTGCCTCTCCTGTCTGTAGGACAAGCTCCCTCTCCCTTTTCCTCCCTTGGTTTAAGCGTGCTGGTGTACCTCTGGGCTTTGTGGGGGAGGACCAGGGGCTGGAACAGCAGCCAAAATTTAAAATCAGGATTAGTCTGTTGACACGCACATAAATCAAACAGCCGTGCTCTCATAAATCTTCTCTGTGGGTTTTGCTGCTGTGGCAGTAGGAGCAGTGCAGCAGGCTGGGCTTCCCAGGGCTGGGTTTCAATGCTGAGACGCTTGTCCTTCACCCGGGTGGCTCGTGAAGGTCACCCCCAGCTCCCTCCTGTCCCCTCCACGACAGCCCTGCAGTGCTGCAGGCTTTGGGTTTGCTGCCGGCGTTTTTTCAGGAGTAGTAGGATGAGATGTCTTTTGGGGATATATTTTGCACAGTCAGCTGGCTGTTTCTGGGTTGTGCAGTTGGTGTGCTAAAAGCTGCACCTGTGCTCGGTGCTCGTCGCTGCCAACGCAGGGGAAGGGGCTGCTGCACAGATGTGTGCTTCTTTCTCCTGCTGTAACGCAACAGTGTGCCCTGAAACACTGTGTGCCTGGGTGCAGAGCTGTGAAGATGGGGCTGGAGGAGGTGGACCTAGCACCCTGCTTTTCTGTGCTCTTCCATTCCCATTCTCAAGCTCCAGAGCCTCTCTACCCTTTCAAAATAATGCCTTACTGCATGTGAAGCATTTTCATGAGATTTCAGGTGTGTGCAAGTTGGAAACCTCATAGATGGTTCTCCATGTGCCACCCAAAAGTGAGAAAGTTGCCCAAGTGTGATTAAAAACCAGCATGATGACTCAGCGGAGCAAGGCTTCATAGAGAAGAAAACAGCAGACTGTGGCAGCGAATGGGATATTTACATGAACCGTGTGGAACATGTGTGTGATTGTGGATGATTTCTCAGGCTGATGATTTCTCCGTCTTCGTGGTGTGATAAAACTGCTTTCTCTTTTCTCCAGGGTAACCAGGAGCCAGCAGCAACTCCTGATGCAATGGTGCAGCCATTCACCACAATCCCATTTCCGCCACCCCCACAGAACGGGATTCCCACAGAGTACGGGGTGCCACACACTCAGGACTATGCAGGCCAGACCAGCGAGCACAATCTGACGCTCTATGGGAGCACGCAGCCGCACGGCGAGCAGAGCACGACCACAGCCAGCACGCAGAATGGATCTCTCGCAGTAAGTGCGGAAAAGCGCGGGGCAGCAGAATGGTGCCTCTGGAACAGGCAGCTGTGCAGGAGGTGGCTGCCTGTTGCTCAAGTGTGCAGAAAGTCATAGGCTTGGAAAGGAGAGAATGGCAAAAAGCCAGGGGTTCTGATGATTCATTGCTGCGTTCTCATCTTTCCCCTTCTGCGTGTTTCCCTTGTAAATAAATGCCTGCAACAGTACCTGAGATCATGGTGCTTTTACCACGGTGGTGCTGTCCAAAGACAGTCTTTCCTAGAAAGATTAGTTACCTTGAGTCAGTTGGTAAGTGGTTCACATGAATGTGGTGGAGGCAAGTTCTAGAAGGTTGACAGCAGGAAGGATTTGAGAGAGCACGTGTATTGTAGGTGTAATCTTGGAATACTCCTGCTTTCAGGAAGCTAACAGAGTAGAAAAACACTTTTCTTTGAGTTTCTGAAAATGGCGGGGAGCTTCAGGGGCAATGATAGGAGAGGACCTCTCAGCTACTAGGCGTCCATTTACCAAACAAAGATTTTCACCTTCTTACGTTTTTTGCTTTCTTCTTCCTGTGGCCTGGAACTGGCACTGGGCAACATGCTGACAGATTATCCCGGGAAAAGCTTTATCCACCCCTTAAGCCACTTGTTAAGACTTAACTTCCTAATAAAGAGCCTTATGGTGAGAGCCTTCGGTGCTCAGGGGTGGATTTAATCTGTTAATGCTTTCAGTTTTGCTTGTAGTTGGGTGTTTGGCTCATAGAGATTATTTCCCCCCCCGTAAGTACTGAGTGAATTTAGTGCCAGCGATGGGAAGAGCTGATAGTGCCAGCCCGAGTGTGCACGGCTCCCAGCATGGGGCCTTGCTGCTTCTGCAGTGGGCACTGGTTGACAACGCCAGCTATGGCTTTGATAAGGTATCGTTGAGTTTATCCTGAGAATGCCTCAGCTGGGAGAAGAAGACAGTACAAACCCAGTAAAGCACATCAATAGCGTGTAAAAGGAACTTCAAAGGCCTTCCTTGGCCTAAGGCAAATGCAAACATAGACAAGAAGAGATCAGGCTGGAAATAAAACTTAAGGCCAATGCAGGGTACAGCATGCAGAAATCCAATTTGTCATAAAGGCATGTTGTTTGAGCCTGGAGGATCTGGGCTGCCCATCTCCAACAAACAGCTGGGTCGATGAGAAGAGTGGAAATGGGGAGCCGACCAGAGCGGTGCCTTTTCTCCCGTGTGCATTTGCTCTTCCCATCTTTGCCCAGAGCTTGAGAGCCTTTCTTTTTAATGGAAGTGATGCGAGCCCTGACCTTGGCTGCGGGCTCTTGCCAAACCTCCTGCTCCTCTTCCTTATTAGGAGCCGTCCCCACAGTGCTGCAGGGCCTGGCTCTGCCTCCCATCAGCCAGCGCCGGCTCTGCGCAGCCCGCCGTGTGCGCGCCAACCGGGGATGGGGACGAGCAGCCTGTGTGTGGGAGGGAGCGTTGCTGGGAGACTGCAGGGAGAAGCTGGTGTTGCCAGGAGGGAGCGTGACTGGGAGAGGTGATCTGGGAAGCAGGCAGGGTAATGCACGGTGCTGGTTCTTGGGAGCAGGTGGGCACGTCTGGTGCAAGCACTTAACGCGGTTAAAGATGCAAGCTGAGCGTGCAAAGTCAGTCTCCGTGGCCAGAAGGGAGTGAGGGTGCAGCTGGGACTGCTCGAACCCAGAGCATCCCAGATATTGGCACGTGGGGAGGGGAAAGGCAGCTCGGCCGCAGGCATTCCCACACTTCTTATGCATTGGGTTTTGGATCGCCTTTGTCCCTCTCTCTCTCTCTCTGTGCAGAAACCCTACTGTATGAATTTATTTTCATTCCGTGGGGTGCCTTGGGATGTAATTGCTTGCAACTTTTCTCCTTCTCAGTACGCTGATTAATGATGTAGGATCTAGGGGGAGGAAGACGGCGCAGCAGTTGTTCAAGCTAAAGCATGCTGTTAAAATACAACGGAACAGGTTGGTTGTTTCATCTTGAACATCTACAGCTAAAGTCAAGCATCTTGTCTATCACACAGACTGGTTATTGCTTGTTTGACATACATGTCCAATCTATGTGGAATAGACTGCTATGCTTTAAAGAGCTTTCCCTTCATTTTGTTGTCTTGCTCAAATGCCAGTGCTAACTTTAACATAGCAAAAACTCATTGCGGGTGATATGTGATCCTCCCCTCCCATTATGGGGATTGACAAGCGCAGCTGCTGTCATCTGTGCGAAGGCGATACCCCTGACTGAATAGCTGGCGGGTTTTTTAGCCGCTGACTGCAAGCCTGTGCTCCCATGGGATAGCTCACACATTTCCTTAGGTCAGGCAGATCAGGTCCCTCTTTGCTTTTAAGAACAAGGCTTGTATGGCTGCCCTGTTGGCAGGACAGAGCGAGATGGCAGAAGTTGTGTGGATTTTTGGCTTTTCAGGCTGGTAGCGTTAAGGAGAATTCCAGAAGTAACAGAATATGGGATGACTTAAAGGTCCCTAATGGAAAGAGAAGTATCATCTGGTTGGTGTTGACTTACGCAGCAGTGTAGTGGGGTCTGTATTGGGGTCCCTTGTACAGCGTGGGGGTGTCTTCTCATAGGAACTTTTCAGGATCTCATGAACAAGTTGGATTGAATGTCTTGAGATTAGCTGGGGGACTGCTGAGTTAATACACAGTGATCCGGAAGGCTGAGGTCAAACAGCAGATGTGAACATAAGTAAAAGAAACCTTGGTAGTCATAGTCCATGCCTTCCTGTGTGCTCCTCTAGGCTGAGCAAAGCTCCCAAGTGAAGGGGGTTGACTGGTTGGTGTCATCAGCGGAGGGTGAGCTTGGTTCTGGAGGCCTGAGTGTGGTGGAAAGCATTCAAAGCTCTCGGAGCAGGGGCACGGAAAAGAAATTGACACAATAGGTGGTGTAATACAAACAGCTTAATACTTTGGAACCTTTTTATTTTAGGATCAGGCCTCATCCATGGAGCTTTGTTTCTTGTCTGGCATGTGGGTCTCCTAGTCATCATCTCCGAGCATCTGTCCTTTCTCTTGATACTGTCCGAAAGCACAGCTGAAAGACCTGCCTTAAAAATAGCCCGAGGTAGCAGACCATATTTGGCCTACTCGCTCTGCCTGTTACAGCCTGTCTCTTAAACTGTTGACACTCTGCATTTCACTTTTTATAGTGCTGGGCTGCCTGGCTTCTTCCCCTTCCCCTTTCTTGGTTTACATGAGTTCTCCCTGCTGGAGACACCCAGCACAGAGAGCCCCAGGGAGCGATGCTAACGAGGCCGTGGCTCCTCTGGCAGCTGAGCTGATCTAAAGATTCACCGCTGTCAGAAAGGAGAGATCTGGCTCCCAGCACAAATTCCCACTCCTGTTTACCGGCTCTGGCATTCCTCACGTGAGCCACTTGAATTCACTGACCCGGCAGAAAGCTGTCCAATTCTTTCGCTGGGTTAATGAATTAGAGGGGCTCTTGGAGGAATCCAGCACATGCTGTTGTCGCAAGGTAGGTGCATGGAGAGCGTGGCCAGGAGCCGAGAGCAGTTGTCAGCTCGCTGCATCTCCCAGTGCTCTACCCGCAGAGGGAAGATTAATCATCGCTGAGCTACAAAAGCTTGCTTGATAGTAAATGCATTGCACTTAATACTGTGAGCTGATTATTCAGCTCGTTTCTCTTGTTAATGTCAGAGGGAAGAATTTGTGTGTCTATATAAATTACAGAATGCAGCTGGAGCTATGGAAGTCGAGGAGTAAGTTTATGCAAATGACTTTGCACGAAAATGGCAGGTGCTGTCGCCTCGGCACTGCGTTGTCGTGAACCAATATAAAGCATTATTTAATTACAGAGCAGCGTGTCTCTCGGCTTTTCATATTGCCATACTGAGGCATATTTAACTCATCTGCCGCACCATAAAGGGATATAGTCTTCCAGGTTTTGTGAAGACACATCTGTGGTGGGGGACCCCTGTGTACCACGTTTGGAAGCGAGATGGGAGGCTGCTGGGTCAGCTGGCTGTGGCCCAGGCATCCACCAAGAGTTGAGAAGGGAGGGAGCCAGCAGCATTATGGAGGTTCCTCAACTTATTCTTATTATGCATGACTTTTTACACTGTCTGATGGTGACAGGACAAAGTGAAAAGGCTATAAGAAAGGGGAGATTTAGGTTAGATGTTAGGAGGAGATCTTTAAATCTGAAAGCAGTGAGGCACTGGCACAGGCTACCCAGAGAAGCTGTGGGTGCCCCATGCCTGGAAGTTCAAGGCCAGGTTGGAGGGGGCCCTGGGCAGCCTGAGCTGGGGGCTGGCAGCCCTGCCCACAGCAGAAAGTGGGACTGGGTGGGCTTTGAGGTCCCTTTCAACCCGACCATTCTATGATGATGCTGTAAGGATGACTTTCCCTTGGGTATTTTTTACCTAGTCTGAGATAGAGGAAAAATTTCCTCTGTAATTATTTTTCATCACTTCAGTAATTAAAGCGTTTGCTCTTGTTAAGGTATTTCAGGTGAGAGATATGTTTAATGAGGATCCTCGGTTCTCTTTTGATACAGCTAAGCAGGTAGATGTGAGGAGGAGCAGGCTCCCAGTAAGTATGTAGCTGCTGGTTGTTCAGACACCACAGATTGGAAATCGTTGTCTGGAGGTAGCAAACTCTGACATTTAACATCAGAAATTTGCTTTGAGTACGAGGCAGATTATTTTGGTTGTCAGCTCTTCCAGACTTGCGTCTAGTGAGGCAGATTTAAAAATGATTTCAAAGGAGAAATAGAGAATAAATCAGAAAATATCATTACGTGAGCGTATACAGCCGTGGTAGTGCTGTGTATCTCTCAAAGGTTAGAGGAGATCTAGAAGCAGTGTAGAGAAGGATAATAGTGATGATGAAAAGGGTGTAGCAGGTTCTTTATGAGAAGAAATGAAATCTTCACTTAGGAAAAGAGCTGATAGACGAGTGAAGGGATGTGACATGTGTAGAATGCTGAATAGTGTTGAGAACTCTACTGCTTTCACTTACTAGGATGCGTGCAGGAAGTAACCCTGTGCTGTGCATATTTAAAAAACAAAAAGCAAAACAAAACAACAAAAAAGCTCACAGCTTTTCTTCATATTTTTGCCTATATAATGAAGAATTTAGCTGTGGAACTCTTGTTCATAGGATCATGGAATTGCTCAGATTGGAAAAGACCCTCAAGATCATCAAGTCCAATCTCAACCTAACCCTACTATCCTAACTCTAATAACTCTCCACTAAATCATGTCCCTGAGCACTACATCCAAATGGTTTTTAAACACATCCAGGGATGGTGACTCAATCACCTCCCTGGGGAGCCTGTTCCAGTGCTTAACAATAATTTCTGTAAAGAAGTTTTTCCTGATATCCAACCTAAACCTCCCCTAGCCTGTTCACAGGATGCTTTGGAAGCTGAGAGTAAGAATGGGTTCATAAAACTCACAAAAACGTTTCATGGGCAGTGGGTTCGTTGCCAGTGGTCAGCTACGAAGAAGGCATGACCTGTTTCTGCTTGCTGGAGTCTGAGAGACCTCCAGGGTGGGAGGCCAGAGAAGCACCACCAAGTGTTTGCCCCATTCCTGTGTTCTTACCCAGGTAACAGCCAAAACCAAATACACCCAAAATTACCCTCACGAATGGAAACAGTCAAAAGCTCAGCAGAAGTGGTTGGGTGTATCCTTAGCCGTTTTTTGTAAGCAGTGGGACCTCCTGCATCCTTTGCTCAGCACTGCTCAGGTGCAGTGTGATAAGACAGGAGAGGTTTTGCTATCCAGTGCCCAATTCCTTGCTCGTTTTTCCACCAAATCATCTTTGTGAGTGTCTGTTCGGTGGTGGGCATCTGGTTGTTTTGACCCAGGCATTTCAGTGGAAATTGCAGAGATTTTCCAGCGTTCCCTGCACTCTTCCTGGCAGCGGGTCGGTTGCTTTCTGCCAGCCCCAGTGTGCAGTCCCTGTCTCCACACAGTTCCTCAAGGGCTTGATCCCATCAAGATGTTTTTGTTTTTTATGCATCCAAGACTGGTCTAGAAGCAGTGGAGTGAGCACAGTCTGTCTCTCATATGCTGTAAGCCACCCCAAGTCCCCTTTTAAATATAGCTGTTAGTTACAGTTTGTATTTTGTAAATATTTTCTTTTGCAGTGATTTATGGTTCATGATGGTTCTCAGCCTTTGGAGTGCCTGTTTCCTGGGGGAAGAAGTCAGGGGGTTGTTGTTCACTTTGCTAAGACTTGAATCTGAAGCAGTTCCAGTTAAAAAGAAGCAAGTGGGAAGCAGTGTGCGCCCCGTGCTGGCCTGTGGGATGAGGGTCCTTTTTGCTCCTGGTGGGGTGGCCCCTCGTCTGCTGGCACAGATGGATTTCCACTCTGGGCTCAGGTGCACCCACTGCTCCCCCTCCCTCCGAGAAGAAATCCTTCAGCATTGGCTTGTTTGCCAGCTGAGGAGAAGAGCATGGTAGGGAGGCAGGAAGGTGGCTGTACAGCCGCCTCCAAGCCCTGCGAGACGCTCCATTCCCCCTTTACGTGTACATTTCCCTTTACAGCCCCTTCTTGCTTAGGGTTTCTTTACTGCCAGTGGGTGCAAGGAGGTGGCAAAGGGAGCGAGGAGTTGAGCGAAGCAAATACCGTGTGCGTGCTGAGCTGCGGTGCAGCTTTCAGTGACCTTGAACAGCTCAGAGCTTGTGTGTGCAGGCATGAATGACATTATCGCTGCATAAGTATATGTTACCCAGACTGCAGTGAGGAGGCAGCGGGGATCCAGGGCTGTTTCCAAACATGGGGTCTTTGCCCAACTGCGAGTTCTGAGACCCAGGGAACAGCTGTCAGCTCCCTTCTGCATCTCAAAACCTGATGTGGGGAAGGGAAGGAGTCGGGGTGAGGAGCGGGTGCTGGGTGAAACGCGATGATAAAAGCTTGGGCTCGGTCAGGGCAGCGCTTTGCCAGTCTCCATTATGTGCTGCTGGAGAATGGGCTCCGGGCCCTTCCTTTCATCTCCTTCCTAATGAATTAAGACAAGGAAAAACTATAAAAGGAGGAGGGGGAGGGGAAAGCAAGATCTGAGGAGACTGTTTCTTTCATTGATGTTGTAGTTGAATGTGTGGCAGTAGACAAATGTATTGAGCTAATGTTATAGTGGTAGAAAGTTCAGCTCTTACCTTGGGGCTGTGGATGCAAAGAAATGAGAGAGGTTGCAGCATCCAGGGAGAAGAGGTATTTAATGTTAAACTACTGCCGAAAAATCAAGGAAATGAGAGGGCCTGCAAAAACACGTCGTCAGAGAGGTAAGGTTGGGCTGAGAGGCCCCCATCCCTTCTCTTGTTTCTCCAGTTTAAAGCCTTTGTCTCGTACACATCTCACATGCTAGAAAAGTGACTCCTGTGTGACAGCAGCACGCTGCCATATGTGGGAACAGCTGTGAGTGTTTTTGAGCAGGCCACTGTACATGATAGATTGCACCCTTGGTAAGAAAGGAGTTCAGCCCTCTGCTTAGGAACAAATGGCTGGGAGAGGAGTGCAGGCAACCTCCCAGCTCCCTTTCCTCTGGCAGCAGCAGGACCAGTCCTATACCATCTATATTTCAATTTAGGATCTAACATGGTTTTGTTGTCACTGTTCAGAGTCTCTGCCTTTCCTGATTCCCATTGCAGAAGATGCAGTGAGGAAGCATGCAAATGTTTGCCCACTTGCCAATTCTATGCATGACTTGGGATGTGGTGAATTGCTCTACTCCAGAACATGCTTGAAAATGGGTCAGAAAGAGATACCTTAGAGCAGGAGCATCAGTGACTTCGGGGGAGTTGTTTTGGAGCGCTCACTGCAACACAGACATTGTGTGCAGTGGTGATGGATGGGCTACCCCTGTGCTTTGTCCTGCTTGGACAGACTTACCCTGAGGAGCAAAGGACTCTGATGGAGTAATAAAAATAAAACCACCAAATAGCATGGTGTGATTTAATCACAAGCCAGCTGCATTGATTCTTCCCCTAGGGTGCACTCTCTGTTTAGAGATGCATTTTGTCATAGGGGTAAGGGTAGGAGAAGAGCTGGGATTTGAAGAGGGGGTGGCTTCTTTTTAGATACGGTCAAATGGAAGTTTGTGAGGTTGTTCTTGAAAATTTGATATCTGAGAAGCAGAGGGGTTGAGCCTTGGCCAAATAAAAATTCTTCATCCTGCTTGGCTTCTCCCGAGACTCACATGGCTCTGGGGAGTAGAGATAATTGCAGGGCAGAATCTCTGTTCCTCCTATCACAGCTTAATTTATATTAATCAGATCAAATGTGTTTTACGCTGTCCTACTAAAACAATATGGAAAGCTGCCACTGCTTTGCTCAGCACAAGAGGCTGGTGCTTAACTATTAGCTTGTTTTTGTCGGTCCATTATAACCACTGTAAAGGTCAAGGTTGTATGTGTCAAGGACATTTCTGGCCAGAAGAAGCTCTCTTAATGTTGCCGGTATAGTTTACCCGTGGAGAGATGAGTTTTTTTTTTTTATTGTTCCAAATATCACCAAGTGTTGTATATGGGATGATGTGCAGGGCAGTATAGCGTGCCTGGACAGTGGCTGGGGAACCAGTGCAACTCTCCACATACTTTTCTTTTTTTGTACAAACTTATTATTTAGAGAAAGAAGAGAGGAAAAAGAGGCCTTCACCAAAACAACCCCTTACTTCTTATTTGTGTATTTTAAGGCTTGAAGGTGCCTAAAAAAGGCTAAGTAACAATTACGCGCTTTGCTTTCTTATAGAGCTTCTTTTCACTTGGTGAATTAAGGAGGAAGTCAGGTTGGCACCTAAAGAATGGAAAAGACATTTTGAAGTGCATCATACAAGTGTCAGAGCATTAGTCCCACGGGGCTGAGGCAAGCAATAGGAGATAGGAGTGAGTGGGTGGATGCTCTTTCAATACCTTTACCCATCACTGCTTGCTCTTGCACAGGGTCAGAACAGTAAGACTGGCCAGGTTATAGTCTGCTCTGTTCTGTGGCTCTGAGTGTTTGCTGATGTGATTTTGACTGAAGTGCAAAAGCCCCACCATTTTCTCATCAGTGCATTTTGCAAAGGGACTGTCCCTTGTCCGTTGAATACTTTGCTCAGATGTTACTCCTTTTTACTCTAAGCCCAGCACAAGCAGCTGAAGTTCTCTTCCTTGCTTCTTCTCTGTGGGGCCATTAGGTATGTCCCCTGGCACGCACGTGTACCCCCTTGCTGTACATTCTCTGTGCACAAGTACTAAGAGCCCACCCTTGCCCTGGCTTTGCTGTACCAGTCGGCACTTGGGAGTGCCAGACCCAATTCCTTTATTTTAGTTGTGGAGCTGGCAGCAGAAAGTAGCATTTGGAGGTTTTTATAAATCCAGCAGTACTAATGACTGTTTCCTGTCCCTGGGATGGCTTTTAAATGTACTAGAAAAGTTAATCAAAGACATCCGTAAGCTGTTGATACATGGATTTTACCGTTTAATTATAGACCTTCTTCTGGGGGGTGGTGTTTCTCTGAAGGGAGCTTGACAGCAGATGCCATTTTGCCTGGAGATGCATTTCTGGTATTGGCCCGGTGAAGAGCTGCCACTTCAGCTGTGGGATTTTGATGATTGCAGGAACATCCTGCCACATGAGATTAGAGCGGCGGTACTACCTCCCAGCTTCAGGATACGGAAGATCCGCCTCTTCATTAGAGCTTTCATATGGTGGCAGCTGAAGTGAGGAAGAGCAGGGGAAAAGAGAAGCAATTTAAGAAAAGCAAAGGCAAATCTACTAAGCTAAAAGGTGATACGAGGGGAAAGAAGATGAGATCTCATTACTGTTTAGTTGTGGAAAAGGAAAGGAAGAACAACAAATCAATGGTTAAGCGTTGCTGGCTTTATCAAAGTAATTGTCAAGTACTCAGCTACTGCAATCACAAATAGAGTACTAATACATAAGAAGAGATGGACGGAGCACATTAAACTAATTTGTATGGTTTCTATTCATGCGCACACTTGTGTCTTTCTGATTTCAGCAGACAGAAGGAGGGGCACAGACAGATGGACAGCAATCACAGACACAGAGCAGTGAGAACACCGAGAGCAAATCCACTCCAAAACGACTTCATGTGTCTAACATTCCCTTCCGCTTTCGAGATCCTGACCTTCGACAGATGTTTGGGGTAAGTTTACTAAAGCCCTTCAAGGCACAGCAGGTTCTCCTTCACCACAGGCAGAATGTACAATGCTGGCTTCTGTTCTCTGGGGAAAAAGCCCTTCTTTTGACCCTGTCCCGGTTTACTCAGCACCCTATAAACTTGTTGCAGGATTAGGGCAATTAGTAGCATTTGGTCAGTACACATGAAAACTCTGTGTTGTTCATAAGAGATATTAATTATAAGCTAATAACTGGCTTGAGGGAAAAAAAAAAAGACCACAACAAAACTTCACCTTATTTCCCAGTGAAGGCTAGGATTAAACATTGACTTAATATATCCCTCACAAAGCACTGTTTTGCAGTTGCTTAGGAACTTGTTGAAATATTTGTCTTTCCTCGTGATGCACTTCTGTGATGAAAAATTATTGCAAGGAGCTGGCCAACTAGTAATTGCATGTGGAAAAGCTAGTGCAAGTCAGATGGTATTTTGAGTTGGGTATGATATATATTTTGTTTCTTTTGATGGAATACTTTGTCTCCCCTAATCTTCACGTGCTATTCATCTTCTCAGTTTTATAAGCTCTTTGGGGAAGAGTGAGCTTACATGAGTATAGCCAGTGACTTTTTCCACGTGGACACAGATGAGCTGGGTGCCTCGTGACCTAACATTTAGGTGAAGTTGGCTATATATCATCATCGGGAATCTGTGACTTGTTGGTATGATGGTAGCGTTCTTGGTTGATGATGTGTTTCAAAGTCTTCAGAAATACTGCTTAATAAAGGTTACAGGCTTAAAATGTTGTTGCCTATTTAAGATGCAGGGCAGAGCACTCAAGTCAGGAAAGCTAAGGTTGCCTTACCGTGCTGTTTTGAGTTTGTGTCCTTGATCCTAAACATGTAGCCAGCTATTCCTCCAAATTCTGCACTATTCTGCAGTTTCAGCTATTGGCATCTCTTTAGACATCTGCGTATGTGTATGCACTGTCACAGAGAGAGGTGTTACAGTATTTTGAGTGTGTCAGATTGACATTTCGTAATTCAGGCTTAAACTTACACATGAAAAAGGAATAACTGGAATTATTGATTCATTGCTTGGACTATAGAAAGAGTGCAGAAATGTTGGAAAATTTCACTGATGGTCTTCAGCAGGGGCCTTAAGTTGCTGCATACTGTGAGACGTATTTGGGTTTTGCTCTTCAAATTATTTATTTATTTATTTATTTTTATTTTTATTTTTTTTAGCTGTAAGAAGCTATTTTGTGGATGAAACCAAACTGAGGAGTTGTCAAAATGCCAGAGGGCAGGGCTGCCATTCAGAGGGACCTCAGCAGGTCTTCAGACACCTCCATCCTGGGAGGTGTTCGACTTGACTGGATACAGCCCAGCCAAACTGATCTCATTAGACCTGCTCTGAGCAGGTGTTGAACTAAATGACCTCTGGAAATAGGTCCCAGTTGAAATTACAACTCTGTGATTCTATTGCTAGAGGCCTGGGTTGGCATTCCTTCTTGTTCATGCATTAGATTGCTGCACTTTTGACATCTGTGGGAACGTTTTCAGGGTGAAACTCATCTCCTGGCAATCTGTGATTGCTGAGTCTTCAGTTGCCTACTCTGCTTGTGTTTTTTAGCTTGCTTTTTGCTGTTTCAGAGCTGTGCAGTCGGCATTTCCGTCCGGTTTGGATAAACTGGTTGCTGAAATCACAGCCAGTTCTTGGACCACCTGCTATACTCTGTATTTAGCACACCCTGCTCTGTGCTGCTGCTTCTCCCCTCTCCTGGGAGCTGTATCACTTACATAAACTGTTCTGTGTTTGTGCTGCCCTTTCCCTTGGGCCTGGTGCTTTGCTCAAGACTGGACCCTTTCATACACATTCACACTGATACTTTCCTCCCTGTGCTCCTGGCATGGGAACAGGAATGAAATGGAAATGGCAAGAACATCCTTGTCTTGATGACTCTCAACTCTCCTGTCTGCTTTGAAGATGAAGAGAGACAAACAATAGGAGTGAACTGCTGTTCCAGTGTGGAGCATGTAGAAAATAGGGCCTGGCTGCTTTCATTAAGGTTTCTTATCTTTTTTTGGACCCAGATGTTGCCACTTACACACTTCCCAGTCCCTTCTGTGCACTATATGAGTTTCTGTTGCTCCCCAAGTCGTCTGATTTTGGTTTGTTTTTTGTCTGAATGTCATCTTTAGGTCCTGCATGGTGTTTTGATTTTGACTTAGGTAAATGGTGTATTCCCTATAAAACCTGTCTGCAAGTTCACCTGGCACTGTGTTTTCTGAGAATTATGCATACCAAACCATTATCCATCTTTTGAGACATTTAAAAAAAAAGAAAGTGCCAGTTTCCAGTAAGGAAAAACTTTATTGCTTTGCCAAGGAAATAATCAATGGTTCTTGCAGCTCTCGCTTCTTCTCTGTGCTGCTTCTCTCAGCATGTTCAGAGCCTCAAGCAGGAGAGCATTTCTATCTGAATCCTCGTTGCTCCCATTTCTCTTTCAGGATCAGGATGCTTTCCCTTGGGTGACTTACTGAAACCAACCCTTTCTCCTACGGGGGACTCATGGTTGTCTGAATCTTCAGCTGTGGCTGCCTATAACCCCCATCTTCTCCCTCTCCCTTCCGTGTGTCAGGTCACATCTCTTCAACGTCATATCTGAGAGACTCAAAATCCTTGCCTGGAGTGGTTTTCCCAAACTACTGTACAATGAGAGAAATTGGGTAGACAGCAAGGCAGCGGAGGAGGGAGAAATAAATGTGATGGTGGGGAATAGGAGGAAAGAAGTCCCCTGAGGACTGAACAGCATGCGAGAGAGGTCAGCCCAGTCCTGAGGCACAGAACATTAGCTGATGCCTTCATCCAGTCCTGAGTAGAGGTGGACTTCAGATGTGTTGTTGTGTGTGTGATTAAGGGGAAATTACATAATGCTTTCCAAACCATCGCCATTTGGGAGAGCCGCAGACATAAGGATTTCCTGACAAATTCAAGTTCTTTGGATTTCAAGTCATCTCTCTCCTGTCACGTGTTTCTAACAGGTCCCCAAAATATCCTCTGCAATGGAACAAACATTTCCTTAAGTATATTCTTCTTATAGGCCGGCAAATAAAATAGGCTGCTTAGAGCAGGTAATATTTACCTGACATTTTGTGATGCCAATGGAAAGACTTCAAGAAAGCTTCTAGAAAGAATAGGTCATTTTTAATGCGCACAGTTCTGCACCCAGTGTGGAATAAATCAATAGTTGACCTTGTTCTAGGAGATAAAGAAGAGTTAATAGCTGATCTGAAATCCCACGGTTGCCTAGGTACCAGTGATTGTTATTTGTCTGTATTTACTTTGTGCAAATAGAATATGGCATCAGTCAGTAATGCAAGGAGCTTTAGAAGAGTCTGTTTCTTAGTTTAAACAATTGGCAGGATAGCCAACTGGGAAGGTACATTTAAAAGGGGGAAGCATTAATGGAAGCTATAAAGCATTCAGCAAAATCATCCTGATGGCCACGAAGGCGTGATTCCACGGTCATGGAAAGTGTGGTACTATAAAGCAATCTGCACGCCACACAGGGAGGATGAAGAGGAAGAATGAACTAAATAGCAGTGAATGTAATTACGTAAGCAAAGAATTAGGTGGGAAAGAAAATGCACTAAAGCACGTGTATGTATATATATACATGTGTATGTGTATTTATTTGAGGAGGAGGAAGATTAGGTTACTGCTAGAGAATGACTCGAAATGAATGGTCAACTGATAAATCCAATAAGAAATCCAGTAAGATTATGTTCAGTGCAGTTTAGTGCGGAGTACTGTGCATGTGGGATAGAAGTTTTTAGTTGGAAAACGCTGATTTGGGAAAGAACTGCTGATCATTGAAGATAACTGCTTCAGTAATGCAAAAGGCACTATCGGGTTGAAGGAGGGATGTGATCTTGCTTGTGTTCAGAGTTGAAAAGATGCGTAATTTTGTTCACTTCTGAGTTTAGGATCATAAAAATAACTTATGGCTTTGAAGATGAATGGCTTTTGAGGTGTGTAAGGTGTTGGGTTCATTTATTCAGCCTCAACCTCAAAAAGAGGTTGGAAGATGACTAGGTTGTGCTGTACAGGTGCTTACGCATGGATGATACCTATTAATAGGGCTTTTAGATCTTATTTGCAGTCATAACAAGATTTTCCAGCTGGAAGCTAGGAGTTATAACAATTAACCTTGAAATAAGAGGATAAATTCTTAGTCATTTAGGCTGATTTAAACAATGGAGCAGCTTACTGGGAAGTGAAGGAGTTGCTCCCAGTGCTAAAAAGAAGCTAGCCCGTATTTTCAAAATGTTCTTATCTGGTTTTGAGGGACAACTTGTGTGTGAAAGGTCTCTGACACAGTAAAGTCTCCCTAACTGCTGGCAGGCTACTCCCTTCCTTAGTGGACTATGTAAGCAGAAGAAAAGCTGATCAGAACATTCCCAATCCTTTCAGCTTTGTGCTGTAATAGTGTCTGTGATTGTACCTCATCACTGATGCCTCCAGTCCTTCCTTCTCTGGCTTCAAGAAGCAGTTTGCCTCCCAGTATAAAACTGACTGAGATGATGTGGTCAGCTCTGATGCCCTTCAGAGTCTCCTGGGGAGGATGGAGGCTGGGCTGGATTGCTGAAAGAGGAATATCCATCTGCTCTTTGGCTAAATCACGAATTTCCTCCACAAACAAAAGCAAAGTGAATTGTTTTGGTGGTTCATGCAGGCATCTGTGTACTAAATCCTATTTATCTGTTGTAGGAGCAACAGTGCAAGTAGTCAGAAGCAATTTTTCTCAGAATTTGCCTTGGTGAAATGCTTTCAAGTGTTCACACATCTTCTCCTGTTATTAAAAAAGAAAGAAAAAAAAGCATAAGGTAAAAATAAGGAACATGTTGATGACGATTGTAGGTGAAGGTGGGATAGCAGTGTAAAGGGTGTGAAATCTCAGGCTCTGGCTTCAAATGGCATTGCTTTTTTCTTTTTAGTACAACATACTGTCTAGCTTATGTCATAGCTTCTACCTGTAGGTTGTTAATTGCTTTTGTTGAGGAAACTTCATCAGCCCAGCCCAGATGATAAAGGGAGCTTTATGTGATCCAAACAACTCAACTCTGAGAGCTCTATAATGGATATTCTTGGAAGGTTTTGCAACCTGAAAGTCTCGGCTTCTTGGCACTCTGCATTTCGTAAAATATATCAGTGAGTATAATTTCTCATCTAACTTTCTTCTGGTGTCAAGAGTGCAAAACACCTCTATGAGCCTATGCTTTCAGGCTAAAAAGTTGACTGCAGGTCTTTCTGCCAGTAAATGGATTTGAATCCACAAGTAATTTGTGATGCACAGCTATTGACAGTGTCAGAAAACTACTCATTAGGTATTAAGGTAGGCAAATAATACGTTGGAGTAAGAATAATAGAAAAAATCTGGAAAGGGACACTGCTTTTTGATTAAATTGAACATTCGAAGGAGAAAATCTATCTTTTGGGTGTTGAAATGGATTTCAGCTTCTTTAGTCTCTGTCTAGTACTGACTCCTGATTACATGTTATTGAGTCCTGTATGACAGTACTGCAGAACAGGAGTTCTGACATGAAGAAACCTCTCTGTGACAACTCTTGTCTCCTAGCTCTTCCTGCAGTAAGAGAGCACCTTTGCTTCTGCTGATTAATCTAACTGAGTAGTGTTAGAAAGGCTGTTTATCCTGATGTTTCACCAGTGCAGTTCCTGGAAGTCACCTTCTGTGACTGAATGGTGGTGCGCTCAGCACTGCTTGAGCATCATGCTCTGTCTGAATGGCCACACCAGGGACCACAGTGCTCCTCTACAGAACTACGTGTGCCTCAGCAGCTGTCAGGAACTATTGGACTGTCTAATGAGGGTTTTACGAGTCCGCTCAAACCTGTCTTGGGGTCTCTGCTGCTTCTGTGGGTGCAGTTCCAGATAGAGATGTTCTCAGCTGAAAGACATCCCATCAAGTGGGGAGCTGGGGCAAGGGCACTCACTGCAGCAGGGACCCCTCCTGCATAGAAAGTGCTCTTGCTAGTGCACCTCAGGCCTGAGGACCTGAAATTATTTCCTGCATAAGCAATTGGTTTCTTGGTGATGTTGAATTTCTAGTGAAATTTAGACCTCTGAAAATGGACTGTTGGGTATCTTCTGGGTTTAGGTACTTTACTGCACTCATCTCTCAGTGAATTACATAGCTGCTTGGGCATGGAAAAATCTGTTGTAGCAGTTGGAGGTTGTCAGATAGCGGCTTATGTTACCTTTTGATTGTTCCATAACTTACAGAGAATTCACCTTATAATCCCTCTTGCTGGCTTCTGTAGGGTTAAGTTATTTGTCTGGCACGTTTTGGAGCTGGTTTCTGAAAGCTCTAGACAGGCAGAGGAGGTGGGGCCAGCTGGAACAGAGCCCGCAGGAGGGGCCCTACCAAACTGTCAGTGCCTTGGAAGGCAAAAGCTCTCTGGTGCCAGATCTCTCAAATTTATTATATGTAATGTAGTTATGGCCTCTGCTGGAAAAATCTGCTGCTTTCGTGTCATCTGGGTAGAAAGAAACACACAGCATGCATGCTCCTCCTTTCTCAATGCCCTTGCTTTATGAGGTGCATCAACTTCAAGCAAGAAAATTTGGTTCTGTTCATAGCTGTTGTCTGTTAATACCCCTTAAACCTGTAATCTCCCACAGCCCTTGCTGCCATTGTAGAAAAGATGATTCTAATTTACCTGCTTTCCTGAAAAACAGCTGAACACATGTGCAAGATCACTTCAGAGAGTGGAGGACTGAGACACAACAAGATTCTGAGGGTCTTATGCCATAGCATGATTGAAGGCGTGTGTGTACATATATGCATACCTGACATATGGTTGAGATATGTACTTATATATCTCACACACAGCCAGTTCATGGAGAAGGCTTCTTGTGACCTGATGTGTAGCAGGGTGATGTGCTGGTCTCTCAGTCACATAATAAGCTGTTGAAGTCATGATGAAGAATGTTTGAGATGTGTAGTTCTATTATGCTTTCTTTAGAGGCTCAGAATTTTTTTTCCGCTGCTGTTCTGCTGGGTTGTAAATAGACATTCATGGTAATAATTGAGTGAAAGAATCAGGTCTGTGAGCACAGTGATTCATGCCTTCAAGGTCAGAGATTAGAGGGTTAGTCCCCATCATGGATGACATAAGCACGGGTCTTGTTTTATTTGGCTAGAGCCTCTGTCTGCTGTAAAACACAAACATGCCCGTATGCATGATTTTAAAAAATTAATACGGGGGCATTTGGTGTTGATCGTTGTTTTTAGATGGCCTGGCTTATTTGTACAGAATTTGTAACCTTTTGCAAAGGAGCTCTTAAAACTTCCATTGTTTGCAGTAGGTTGTTGACATTGGTAGGGGAAGCACCATCAGAGAACAAAGTGCCTTTTTATGTTCCACTAAATTAGATTCAGCTTTGAAGGAGATATAAACTGTTAAAATGAACTAGTTCTTTTTTCCTGCTTTCATTCTCCAGGAAAATTCTGGCACGCAACCAAAAAATGAAAGCCTCCAGTCCTGGACCTGCTGTAACCGTTGCAGCAGTAAGGACAAGAGCTGCGATGTTTGAAGCTGCCAGAGCAGCTGTGGCAACGGCTACAGCAGAGTCTTGGATAGCCCAGCACACGTCCTGCTGCCTCACAGCCTCACTGCTTTCTTCCAAGGAATTTCACAAAGCACGAAACTTCTCCAGCAGGCCTCAGTACAGCAGTTAGCTGCTGCTGTCCATGCTAGTTTCTTCCCTCTTGCTTCATCAAATACAACTGACGTGGAAAAGTGGTGAGGAGGCCATAGCCCACTGTAGGCTTCACTTTCATTCAGCATTACCTCCAGCTTTTTGCCAGTCCTTAGGAATTAAATGCACAAGACAAGGTTTCCTGTTGGTGTGGAAACTCTGAACAGTGAGCTTGGCCGATTAGGGCTGGCAAGCAGCTCTGGCAGCAATACCCAAGTATCCAGGCCCAGCTGGGTGTGGAGAAAGGGGAAGATGGCAAAGCATAATTGTGCACCAGAAGCTGCACAGTTTGTTCTCTTTTAAGACAACTCTAATGAAGGAGAAACCGGTGATTTTTGATGGCTCTGAAGTTTCTGAAAATAATTTTGGCATTTGCATTTATCAAGAGCCCGGCTGTTTCAGTGTGTGTGGCAAGGCTAGACAGCTGAGCTGATCTGGCAGGGACGGATCCCACTCTTGGGCTGAGCATTCAACTTTCTGTTCTCTCTTGCTTCTCAAAGCCTCTATGCTCCCATGACCCTTTGAATCGGTTCTGACCAGTAAAGCATCAAAAATGTGTTATTCATTCCATTTGTTGGGCTACTCTTTTGTGGAATTGGTGGGCTGTATCAGTTGATATATGAGTGAAAATGAGAACTAGGGCCAGCTCTTGGAAGCTGGTGAGCCCAGACAGGAAGGATGAAGGAGCAGGAGCAGCCCTTTGGCAGCTGTAAGCTGTCAGATTGGTTCAGCCTGTCTTGTAACTGCACTGAAACACTTGTAGTTTATCAGGAAAGCAGTCGTGACTGATTTCTTTCATGGCAGTACCCAAGTAACAAAGACAACAAAAAGCAATCAATGGCTAATCTCCTTTATAGACAAGCCCACAACGAGCATGGGATAGAAATAGAAAATGTATTTTAGCTGTGATTGGCACAGCAGTGGTCAAGAGAGGATCCAGCATGGATCAAGCCTAGCTGTTGAGATGTTGAGGCTTAAAGGAAGATGCAGTGACTGCTCACGTTTACGTTAACATTATTCAAACTTTGTGTAACGTAAGATATTATGCATTCAATTGTTCTGGAGATGAATAGAAGATCAAGTATTGTCCTTACACAATAGAACAGTAAAAACAACATCTGTGATCCAGCATTTGTAAAAAGAATACAACTATCTCCTTTTTGAGAATGGAAGATGGAAGCAGACAGAAACTATAGCTAAAATTGTTGGAAGAGTTTCATTTGCATAAAGACGATTGAAGGGACTTAATAGCTTTTTACTGCTTTACATATCCAAAGCTTCTCTTTAGTCATCATGGCTTACTGTTGCAAATGTTCCACGTCTGCAAATCTGGACACAAATCTTTCAAGCAGGGCACTCAGAAAATAAGCATTATACCCACTTGACTTGATATGGAAATGTTGATTTAAAAAAAAAAAAAAAAAAAATTGACAAATATTACTTTGCAGAGTGACAGAACAGAAGGATGCTTGTCCCTAGAGGTGGTGTTCATCATCTTTCCTGACTATGGAACCATCCTTTCTTCTTCTGTTTTCTGTTCTTTCATTTCCTATACCCTTTAAAACTTCTGCAGGTGATGATATGGAAAACTGTGATATTGAAAGCTTTTGTAAAGAATAGGGTAGGAAAAATGTTTAAATTCTAGAGGCCTACATTGCTTTCAAACCAGTTATGAATCTTCCATATGTGTGTTCCTGAGAATGAGATCTTGGACCTGTCTTTCTGGAGAACAAACCTTTGGAAATACAGTATTTGTAGTGCAGTATTGTGGGGCTCTGTTGAAGTAGTAATGCCTTACAAATAGATAACTGGTTTGAATGTGACCAGTTCAGTAGCAGCACTAAAATGTGTTCCTGGCTAAAGGACGTGATCAGTATGTGGTTTCACAGTGTGGAAGCCTTTTTAACTTTCAGTTCTTGTTTTCCTCAGTTTTGGTCTGTGCAGGGACCAGCTGGAATCCCTAAAACTCTTCTGGAGATCTTTCTTTGGACTTTTTTGAGGAAAAAAAACTTGTGTCTGTGGCCAAGAGGATCTGCATGTCATAAGCTGAAAGAATTCAGTCACATCACTGCAATTTTATGCCTTTGCGTATATGCTAGAAATTGAAATATTCTCACCTCCCTTCTTATGTGTAGCCAGCCCCAAAAAGTTACCTGAAATGGTATTGACAAACGTAAATCTTTTTTTTCCCCCTTGTCTCTTTGCAGCAATTTGGCAAAATCCTTGATGTAGAGATAATCTTTAATGAGCGCGGCTCCAAGGTAAGTCCTGTTTCTGTACTCGCTTCTCATGTTTTGATTGCACAGAGTAAAAGGCAGTTCGTTGCCTAGAGAATATACTCAGTAGAGATCAACAGGAATTAGTGTGATGGGGGAAGGGAAAAGCTATCCTGGGGACTGTCTCCTGTTCCCTCTGACTCCAGACTCTGAGCATGGTCATTTCTGGGCAGCATGTACGAATGCTCCTGGATGCTCCCATCTGTAATAAAGGATCAGGTTCCCAATCTTTCGAACAAACAGGGAGTCACTTGAGCCTTCATAATAATCCCTCCTCATTGCCCTGGCAATGAGTGCCGTGTGGGGAAGGCGCAGTAAATAAAATCAGTGACACATGAAGGGAGCTGGTAAAGAAAAGAAATATATATATAAAATAATAATAATAAAGAAACAAAGGCTGACAGCCCCGCTTCCCCAAAACCACATCTTCATTGCATTAAAATATTCCCCTAGAATAAATGTAATATCTAACATGTGGAAGGAATTTGTTTATTCTCTTTCATAGACTTGCTCAGCATTTCTGAGAAGCTGACCTTTCACATTTGAGATATTTGATGCTTAATGAAAGCATCCCAATTCCCCTTGTCCTGCCCCTGTGGACCTCTCCCCATTGAATTTGCACTTGAACACCTATCTTCATTCTTAAAATGTATTAAGAGAGAGGTTTTGTTGAGAGCCAGTGGTAATTTATTTCTCTCAAAATGAAATTTCAGATGTTGCTCAGGTCAGTTGCAGAGAGATTCAGTGATCTTTGTCCTAATGGGCAGTTGGTTCTCATCATGTAACCAGTGTCACCACAATGACAAATTGATGTGATTCTCTCTCTGCCCAGGAGGTTCAGCACTGGAATAGCAGGGAATTTTGCAGGTCAGGAGCAAGGTGCATTGCCAAAGCTCTATGGGGGAAGCTTGCACAGTGCATGTCTATACTCTGCTTGACTTAATCAATGCTAAGATTCCCATTTTCAATTAAAACAAAACTTCCCTACTCCCCACGTACACGTGTGTGCACATGTGTGCATGCACACAAGAGATTTTGAAGTTGCAATTCAGCTAAGCAGTATCAGTTTAGAGCTTGTATGTCTGTCTCCTGGATTTGAGGTTCACTATCTTAACGTGGCCTCTTTGCTTTAACGTATCTTCTGGGATCTGTTCATGTTCAGAGCCCTCTGCAAATTCAACCTGTGTTCCCCAAGGTGCATTCCGAAATTCTTCAGTCTCTGTGTTATCTGGAAACCAGAAAGCAGTTGATCTGCATACAAAACAAATGAAATTCAGCTCTTTCCCTTTCCACGCTTAATTTGTGCTTAAAACTCCACCACCAAACATGGCATTTCTTATTTCTTTTTGTTGTTTTAATAAAGCAGTCTGAAAGAGTAAATGCCTTTATGGCTTAGTTAGAGAGACTTACTTCCCTTTGGGGATAAAAAATCTATACGCTTTACCAAAACAATCAGCTATGCTGAGTTTGTAAATATTTATTCTGCTCTCTGCTGTTCTTCTGATATTTATAGGCCAGAGCTGTCTGCGAATTAGTCTCAATTTTGGCCATTTCTATTTGGCTTTGGGAATAGCCTCTGGCCTCTATCAAAATCCCTATTTTTTTGGATGTAAGTGCAAAAGAAAGAACAAAAATAACTGGCCTGACAAAGTGCTGAGCTCTATCCCTCATCTTTGTCTGCCTGTGCTTTCCAGCACAATGTTTTCTTCTCTGCACGTGAACTTCACTCTTGCTCTGCCATCCATACAGCCCTATATTAAACACCCACGGCTGCCCTTTTCCTTCTAGGCAACAGTAACATTGGAGACCTTCTGTGAAGGCTTGGTTTATGGTTATGACAGTTTTTTTTCTTCTGCAGTTGTTAAAGATCAAGGCTTCTGGTTTTCAGTTAAAACAAAAATTGTTGCTGAAGAGTTCCTTGACCGATTTTATTCCAAACCCTTAATAAACATACAAAAAAATAAAGCGATCCAAAGAGATGTTCTTCCAGTCCATGACCATGCAGTTTTCTACTGCTTTTTTTGGTCATCTTACAGCAAAAAGCAGTTGCAGAACTGATAGCCAATGTGAGGGATGGGGCAGAATCTGAACAGAATGAGAAAATACCCAAAGAATAATTTTGTGATACCCCTGCATCCTTCTCAAGCTAAAATAATCAGTGTTTTAAAAGAATGTGAGATTATTCCTGCTTAGCATGAAAATGGGAGGCCCCAGTGTTTGAGTGGGGTGTAGCTGCACGAAGCACCTGGTATTCACATAATAATGGAAAAACAACAGTTTGGTGATCTGATGGTGAAGCAAAGGAAACGGATCTTTCTGGAGGCCACTCACTCACTCTTGGGTTCTTCCTCCACCTTAGGAAAAAAAAAATCTGAATGCATTTTCCTGCCCTGTGGTTTCCATTCTAATCTAATGATATGAAACCTCTCTCTCTTCTTCTCCTCCTCCTCTCTTTTGGGAATCCGAAAGCAGATGCTCCTGCTGCCTGCCTTGTGCTGTGTTCTCAATGCTCCCTCCCCTTCCCTGGGTTCCTAAGGGTGTAGAGTTTTGTGTTATATGTTTTGTCAATATTTAAAAGGTACAGGTGAATCCCAAACTGCCCACCCAGGCTACGATGGGCCTGAGCAGCGCTTTGTCCCTGGGCCTGCTCCAGTGATGGCGGGCAGGAGGGCCTGGAGGAGAGCTGCAGTTGGTAATCTGCCTTTTGAATCCATCTGAGATGACCAGGCAGTGTTCTTCCACGGCTGTAGTGGTGTGCCTGAGGGAACCATACCAGACAGACTCTGTGTTTGGGGTCTCTGTGCATTGAAGAAGGTTGTAAGAGCAATGTGTGTACGTCACAGCCATCTCATGCCTCAGGTTCTTGTGCTTGGCTTAGGAAGTGTCATTTGTTGTCTTTCCATATCACAGCAGACTAGGAGGCAGCTAATAATTAGTTTTGCTGATTCTTCTCTGAAAGCAGCGTGAATGATTGTTCCCTAACTCGATTTCTGCCTGGATTCAATCTATTTAGTAGGATTATGTGGGTAGACTTCACACCGATGCTGTTTAGCTACACGTGGAAACAAGATACAAACTTGAAATGTCCGTTGAATTTCATTTAGTTCTTTCTTTAGCTTGTATGACAGAATGACATTAGTCTTCCCTCAATTCATTTATTACTTTTTGCTTGCTTTCAGGAAGCTATCAGTTTGCTCCAGTTGGCCTGTGTGCCTTTACAATTCTAGTTCTGACCCATATAAATAAATGCCTAGAAATAGCATTCTGCTCATGGTTGCAATTCGCCATGCGCTTCACTGAACCACGAGTAAAACACCTCCAGAGGAAGCTGAGGGATGGGATTCCCACACCTCTTGTTGTGGAGCTGCATCCTGTAGATGCATATTTTGGCACTGTTGTGCTGAACTGAACAAATGGACATATTTGCAGAATTAATGCAGTCTGCCCAAGTAGCACTAGAAATGAGAAGCCCATGACATTCATAAAGCTGCAGGGGAGGGGAATCCCAGCTCTCTGCTCGATGCTGTCTGCCGGGTGGCATTCTGAGATGTGCCCTCAACGCCATTCAGATACCAAGAGCACATAAGCACACAACAAAACGTTGGCTGAAGAAGGGTCATGTTTTAGGTTTCTGTGTGGTGAGAGTTCGTGTTAGTGCAGACTGAAAGCCTAGATTTCAGGATTACCTTCCAGTTGGAAAGCCCAAGTCGATAAAAAAGGAGAGTGGTCTCTGAAATCTTGTTTGGGAGTCAAGTGTCAAAGTGCAGTATTTTCTTCAATAATTGTTTGTATGGTTGTTTACATCTGGTCTTCACAAGGGAAATGCATGTGTTTAGTGGGTGAAAATCCTTAAATACATCTGTACTAACTAGAAACTTGTACAGAAAGCTGTATGAAACACACAAATCTTTGTTTGCTGTTAACTTCAGGCTAAGATAAGGATATTTAGGTTTTAATAACTCTGCCTAAAAGATTGTATGTTTGCATGCATGTTTATTTCTTCGAGTGGAGTAGATGGTTTGAGTTAGCCACTGCAATTCTGGACCTAGTTCCCCCCCAAGGAAATAGATACACTCTCTTGTTACAGAGGTAACAAGAGGTGTTCTCATTTTAATTCTATTCTTCTAATTTTTGTTCAGATGTCATCAGTTGAGCTAGAAATTCAGATGTTATTAACACAGAGGTTTAAATACAAGCTGCCAGCCACTGTCACTTTCTTAGGTCAACAAATGTATAATACTGGTGGCTTGAAGAGAGATGTGACCTTTGTCCCTTAGTCCCAGTTTGCTCAATTACAGTGTAATGCCATGCCTACCTTCAACTTCTTGATAATAAAATTGGTCCACATGTTGTGAACTGGTTTACTTAAATTTGAGTAATTAAGGTTGAAGTTGATGGACTGATATCACAAAGCCCCGATGGGACAGAGCACCTTCCTGGTGGTGCTCATTTCATTGGGCAGGGAGTTGCTAAATTAGCCAAAGCGTGGAGGGATGGATTTAAAACTCATAATAAAAAAAATGATCTGGGGGAGGGAGAGTTTTTTATTAAGCCAGCAGAAGATAAGCTCTCATTTCTCTCCTTTTTAGCTAGGTAAATTCCTGCATCTGGTTCACTAGGTAGCACAAATAGATGGTCAGGGCCTTTAATTTCAAGACGTGCTCAGGAGTCGTATGGGGAACTGGAAGGGCTGCTGAAGTAATGGCAGCTTTGGTTTACACTGGTTCTCTCACCAGTTTGAAGTGCGTGCATGTAACTCAGGTAAGGTGTGCTTCTGAATTTTGGGCTGTGCTCCTGTGGGTGCATCCCAGTCCTGCTCATCTCAGGTGGATTACACTGAAACCCTCCTCCGCTCTCAAATGCCTTGGAAACAGGTAGCCTAAACTTACATCCCTTGGCCATTTCTTCAGGCTCCTAAAAGTTGGTTTACATATGTGGGGAAGGGGAAGGGGGAATATATAATCTGTTCAAAAACAAGCACAGCAGTAGAGGAAGGCAAAGCCCATTGCTGGCTGCGTGCTCTGTGGGGGTACAAGGCAAAGACTCTGCTGCTGAGGTGACTGTCTAAACTCCATGACAAATGAAGGGTTAACAATGCATGGATTTCAAGGGGCTCTGTTTAGTTTCCTTTGTTTTTATTTTTATTTTTTTGTTTTATTTTTTGTTTTTTGTTTTTTTGTTTTTTTTTTTGTTTAATTTCTGTGTTCTGGCCACACCCAGGAGAACCGTCTGCTTTTGATTTCTCCCTTTACGGTTACATGGTAAATTTTCTTTCTCATTCTTCAGAGATGGAAACGTTCAAATACTCTCTCTATACATTTATTTATTTATTTATTTTGACACTGCTCATCATGTTGCTTGTTATTTATTGCAGAGTCTGAGGCCAGACTAAAAGGGTGGCAGTTACTCGGTCTCTTCAGGCCCTTTGAATAAAACTTTGGGTAAAAGGGGGCTTAGTCTGGCCCTGCAAATTGCTCAGAAGTTCTGAAAAATGTTTACTGGGGTTATTCAATGCCCACTGGGTACATTGAGGTTTACATTTATTTTCTGCTTGGGAAAAGTTCCCGGCGTTTGTTGGTGGAGGGGAAATGTTGAAAAAATCGGCCTTAATATTTATAACAGCTTTATTAAATGCAAGGTATTTATATAAATTCTATCTAGAAACTTTAAGTCGTATTTTTTTTTTTTTAACCCAGGATTGCATCTTCCCTTCCTCTGGCTCCATACATAGTACTGTGGGGCAAACCAATACCTGCTGTAGATCTGAGCTAGCAGACATTGGTCATCTGCCTCCTGTTCTTGTTTTTTTCTTTATGGTTACAACAACCTTGGGAGGGAAAACTGAGAATGCTTTGTTGTATATGTTTCTAGGTACAAATTAATCCCTATTCTTTGCAGGTCATCTGTGAGAAGGAATTCAAAATACATGTATAATTTTTCTTCCCCACATCAAAAATGTGTATTTAATTGCTGATTTTCAAACTTGGGAATAATAGAAATGTCAAGCATGGCTCACTCGTTTTTCTTGATGAAAATTTGAATGTCTTAAGAGTTGCATTAAGAAGACTAACCAAGCGGGCACAAATATTGACTCTATCATATTCGACTATGTAAAGTGTTAATTCAGCATTGATGTTAAATGGTTTTCAACAAAGAGTTGCATAAGCTAAGGATTGATCTGTGAATAATAAAAAATCTAGTTAATTAGGTATGTTGTTCAGAATCAAATCAACTCTGTTTTAATTCACGTTGTTAATTATTCCTATCTAGTCTGCATGTGGATTGTACCCTGCCTTGATTTAACTTACTAAACTTAACTTTCTAAAAATAAAAAATTCCAAGTCACTTTAAATGTATTTGATGATAATGTTTTGAAGTCCCTTACAGACTTCATTAATTGAGAACAAATGTGAATTTAAATGGTCTTAATTTGGTTCTAGTCTGCACAGGCTAATGTCTAAAAAATTACCTTCCCTCTGTTCTCCAGCTTTCAGTTCACAGAATCACAGAAGACATAAATCGTGCTCAGGCTCTGCAGGATTTTCTAGAACAAACAAAAATTTTCATGTCAAAAGAGAGGAGGGAAATAGAGATTGCTGTCGCAGTCTTTTCCTCCCCTCCTCCTCAGACCTTTTTAAAGGTGTTTTTTTCCCCATTATATCAAACAGAGGGAAACGTGTTACTCTATTTCTCAGTCTCCCCTTTCTCTGTAAGGGTTCTTTGAAGCAGATACAATACACTGTCCCTTCATAATCAGCGTTGTTATTATACAACCCCCTGTTCCCTGCAACCTCTTATAGAGTTGCATGTGGTTGGACTGATTTATTGGCCCTGATCTCTTGTAGCTCTGATTTTAATTCATTGCAACTGAAAGCATTCGTTGTTCTAAAAAAGGCAACAGTTTGTTATCTATACAGCCGTTTATTTCCTTTAAGTGGAGAAAAGAAATGATCTGAAGTTTTAGATTAGAGACTTGGCACCCAAAAGGGAGAGAGCTCTTCTTGGTTTCAGTGTGACAGTATTGGGATATCCAAGTTTGGGTTTGTTTGTTTGTTTTTAATACTGCTATTCCTGAGAGAGGAAAAAGAAAAAAAGAAAGGCTACATTACATTTTACAAACATGTAACAGTTTTGTGCTGGAAGCCTAGCTGTGGATGATAAAGGCCAGCATGTGCAAGGCGGCTTCTTAAGACCAGTGTGGTGCAGCCCTTTATAAAGCACTTAGAGTGATGGCTTGCTTGTGTCTTGTTGCTAACAGTGCCTAGAAGTCAGGATGGTATTTTTTGAGTATCCATGCATCCTGATCCTGAGCTTCATGGAGGGGCTGCCAGGCTAGCATGCCATTTCCCTGACAAGGCGTAGCTTGCAGTTGATCAGCTTACCCGGTGCTCTGCTTAATATCAGGAGTTTCCATTGCATTGGACACAGACTTTGGTCTTCCTGCTTTTGCGTTAAACTGGGATTTGCTTTATAGTAAGCCATAGAAGCCAATTCTCCTTCTGTTCTTCAGGTACTCTGAAAGCAAAATGCAGGCAAGTTTTTGGCTTGGCCCTGCTCTTTGCAATGGCATGAAAATTATCTCCTCCTGATTGTCTGTGGTAGGGCACCATTTCCTACAAGCTAAATTCCTAATCCCCTTAGTCGTAGATCTGCTTGACTATCAGAGCACTCACCCCCATGGAAGTGAGCATGTTTTCCACTGTCCTTGTACCCAACTGCTTGAGTTGATGGCCATGTGAGCATGTGGGACAGCAGCATTGCATGTGCCCTCCTAGGCTAGGTAGATCTGAATCATTGGTACAATCAGGGGACGCACACTGGTAGTCCCTGAGCTTGTTGCTAGAAGCTTTGTAGTGTGTCTAGGCAGAGATCAGCACCCATGGAACAGAGGTTGCCATCTTAGAACAAAGCGAAGTGAGATGGGTGGCAGTCCCTGAAGGAGGGAACAGTAGGCCAGAAGAGCCAGAAAAACCCTCTCGTTACCAATAGGTCTGTGTTGAGGTGTTCAGCAGGTCCAACATGGCAAAGGTAGGAAAATACAGAAACTAGAACAACACTAATTGCTCTAAATCTTTAAGTTGAGTGATGTATTTCTCCTGATGCTACCTAGAAGCCCTCCTTTCTCTCAGGGCCCCATGCATTATTAGGAAAGTCATAGGCCTAGAAGTAGACGTGAGCTGTGCCCTGAAGAGCTTGCAAGGGATGCTTTACAAACAGTCCTTCCTCTCAGCCGTTCTCCAAGGTAGGTGATTATTAATGTCTCCATTTTACAGGTGGGAAAAGCAAAGTTCAGTGTTCGAATTGCCCAAAGCTTCGCAGAATTCCCGATGCCAGGAACTCAGATGGCAGTGAATGTTCAAGAGATTGAAGTGCTGTGCCCAGGGCAGGCAGCGGGCTCAGCACTGTGTGCTGTCAGGGACAGGACCTAACCCGCTGCCTATGCCAGGTTTAGTTCTTTGAAAAGAAAAAAAAGAAAGAAAGAAAAAAAAAAAAAAGAAAAAAACAAAAACAGCAACAAAAAAAAAACCCTTAAAACAAAACAAATTGTCTCGAGTAACTTTGTACTTCTTTTTTGGTCTGGCCTCAATTGCTTTTATGTTTTCTTTTTTTAATTACTCTTATTATTCTTATTATGATTACAGTTCCTTTTGTTTTATTGAATTTTAATTTCTTTCATTTATGAAACATGCATGAACCAACAATGTGACTCTAGGAGGTTATTGCTGAGTTGTGCTGATGTCGATTTCATACTGTGATATTTTTTCTCTATTTACCTAGAGATCAGTATTTCAATATATAACGATGTGCATGTTTTCCCCCCTTCTCCCGCTGCATGCAGGGATTCGGGTTCGTAACTTTCGAGAATAGTGCTGATGCAGACAGGGCCAGGGAGAAATTACACGGCACCGTGGTAGAGGGCCGTAAAATCGAGGTGCATGTCTTCAGTAATTCAATTTCTTCTTTATATTTATTCTTTTGATTTCTTTTTGTGTCTTGCCTCACTTATTTCACATTTGGATCCCAGTCTCGTGTGTGCGTGTGTGTTTGTGTCTGTGTCCTTCACCTCCCTGCACTGAAACGTATACAAGTTTTACACCCCTTTACGAAATATTTTTATCGTTGTTTTGGGTATTCTTCTTTTCCGTTTCCTTTTTTATTGAGTTTTTTTTTTTTTTCCCCACCCACTCCAAATTTTTGCCCTTCTGCTGTCTTGATTTTTCCTTTGCTTCAGTTTGCGAGGCTCCAGTCTCCTGTTATCAGGCCTGAACGACACTAACTGAAAGAGTACTGTCCGACTTGTAACTCTGTGCCTGCACAGAGAGCAGGGGGCCAGCCAGTCTCCTCTCTTTCCTCGAGGCCAGTTCTCCTCCACACAAGTGTGAGATGATGGGCAGGGAGGTGGGGGGCAGCTGGGCTGCAACGCTCCTGGCTCTCACATGAGCCCTAGACGGGTGCGATGGGGTGATGTTGGGCGGCCAGCGGGGCCGTAGATGTGGGGTAGGCCCAGAGCTGGCCAATTTGGTGATCCACCATGGTGAAGGCTAACTGGCTCTTCCTTCTCTCCCTCTTTCTTGAAAACGAGGAAACAAAAAAAAGTACAAATATTTGAACGAATATGAAAGCAAAAAACAAAAGCCGCCGTTTTGAGTAAGATGTCTGCATATTTTGCTTTTTTTGTTTTTGTTTTTTGTTTTGTTTTGTTTTTTGTTTTTTTTTATTTCCCTTTTCGATGGTCTAGCGTTTAGGGCCCTTCACTTGACTCACTCTTTCCATGGTAACTATACACAATGCTGGCGATGGTACGAGTTGGCGGTAAGTGAAACAAAAGCGCTAGAGAAGAAGCTTTTTTTTTTTAATTTTTCTTAAAATTACAAAAAAAAACAAAATTAAGAAAGAAAAAATCCATCTGCCATCTCACATTAACACAACGAAATGTGATTTGACTTGTTGTCCCCACCCACCTCCTTCCCCCCTCTCCCCCTTTTATTTTCAATGCTGTTGAGTAATGCCGCCTGGACTTTGGATGTACATATCGTTTTGTAGCAGTCTGAGCTGTTTGATTACTGACTTCATGGTGATTTTCCCCCTGCACATCTTACTCAGAGTTACTGAACTCCAGTTTGGCTGGTTTTTATTAATGCACTCATTTCCTCTTCTCTCTCTCCTGCCCCTTCTTTCTGCCGCTCTGAGACCTGTTTGTAGCTGTTACTGTTCCTTTCCTCTACCTTTTTTTTTTCTTTTTTTTTTTTCCCCTTTCCCAGTTTATTTCTTTACTCGGTTAAATGCAGCTGTTGGTCTCTTTGCTGACTGGTGGTTTCTGATCAGTTCTGGCGATTTTTCCTTTAAGTGCTTGTGTTGCACTTTGCTGTAGCAGCTGATTTCAGGCACTCGCTCCATCTTAATGATTGTCTGTGAGACCCTATCTCCTCCCTCCTCCCTCCCCACCCTCTGAATCAATTGTGTTTTTTTTCTTTCTTTTATCTGTGTGTGTTTAACTGCATGCTCTCAGTCTCATCATTGTTGTTTCCCATTCTTTCTTTTTAAATGTGAAATGTTTCAATTGTTTTGGGGCTAAACAAGAGTAAATGTAATTCCAGATTCCCCACCTTGCATACGCTCACCTTTCTTTAAGTCTCAAGGGCCCAGAGCAGCTTTTATTCTTATAGTATTTTTTTCTTAACCTGGATTTCCATTTGGTAGATGTTTTGATAAATTATTGATGTTGGATAAAGACTTCCGCCCTCTTTGCAAGAATTCTGAGGCTGTCTGACGCAGGGCTGCAGTAACTTGGCTTCCAAACTGGTCCATCTTTTCTTTGTCAGCACCATCTCTGTGGTAACACCCCACTTGCTTGAGCAATCAAACCGCTTGGAACGATGCAGAGCTCTGTAAAGAGGGTGGAGGGCACAGTAAACAACAACAGCGAAAGAGCCATCTCTATTGCTATCCATTTCTTCTCTTTATTTGGGAAAAAAAAAATTGGAAAAAGACTTAAATACGATGGGAAGCAAATCAGTGAACGCAGTCTGTCCAGACACTTTGTGACTTGCCCAAAATCTCAAACCATGGCAGTTCAGATCTTAAGCTGATGGGCTGCAGGTTACGTTTTTCTACCGCAAACCTGTCTGTGATCTGTGGGCCGCAATCCAGTGGTGAGCTTGAGAAACAAGTCAGCTTGTGCATCACCTGCCTCACTTCCCTGTCCTGGGCTGCAGCTGTGAGCACCAAATGTTTTGCCCTTCAGAGGGATGAGCTGATGGTAACCATGCACCAGGGGGTGCCAGGGTGTCTGAGAATCTGCACTTTACTCTTGTTGGCCTTTTGTTTAATGCATAATTTAAAGTGCCATGTTTAGCTGTAACATTTAAAATTAAATGGCAATTGTTAAAAGTAATTTTAAAACTGCATTCTTGTAAAATTAGTTATTTAATTTTTTTTGCTCAGAAAAGTACAGTGTGTATGTGTGCGCGCATGCGCGCGCGTGTGTGTGCGTGTGTGTGTGTGAGATATCAGAGTTTTCCATCATTTTCCCTAATGCCCTCTGCTTCCTTCCCTCTCCTCCCCATCCCCTTTTTGCTTGTAGGTTAACAACGCCACAGCACGAGTGATGACCAATAAGAAGATGGTCACGCCATATGCAAATGGTAAGAGAGACTGTTTGTACTAGTGATGAGCTGAAAGATTAGAAGAAAGACAAAAGCTTCCTGATGAGGGAAGGTCGTGGGCTCTCATCAGGACCTCCCAGCTGAAAAAAAAAACCCAGACCCTCTTCACAAAAAGAGAAATGACTCCCAAGCTCTAATCTGCAGCTTTATGATTCAGTATAACTGTACAAGTTTATGAAGGAATATCATTTTTCAGGTGGAGAAGTTGGGGCAGAGAGGAGTAGTGACGTGCCCAGTGTTGCCAAGCTAGGAAGGGAACCCAGGGTCTGATGTTTCACCTGCCACTGCTGCAAGCTGATGCTGTGCCAGCCTGCAGTGGGCCGACCATCGCTTAAATACCTAAATACAACTGGAGTATCAGTTAGGATACGTAGCTAGATATTTCTAGCTCAAGTTCTAGCAGCAAAAGTGCAACTGTCCTCAAGCAGCTGGGAAAATAGAGGCACTGGGCTATTTGTATGTTCCCTTGTTACAGGCTGTGTCTGGCATTCAGTCGTTTTCCAACAAACCTGAATAGAGAATGACCAAGTTGTTTGGGCAATGAAGAATCCTGTTTTACTGGGCTATCTAGGTTCTTCTGTCTGTGCAGTGATTTTACTGCGTGGGCGCATATATAGCATTAAAAAGTCATTCTTCTCCTGACTGAACTGAATGCTGCTTTGATAAACATTTTGAAACTGAATCTTAGTCCTGAACCAGGCAGGAAAAATTCTTCTTGTCTTGAAAATGTTCCTGAACAGCTTCAACAAGCGGGAAGCTATGCATAGGTAGTTGCTATTGCAAGAATCCATTCCAATTACAACCTAAGATTCAGAAATGAGAAAATAAGGATTTTATTTGTGGCTCTGCTGCTGAGTTGTTGTGTGGCTCTTGGCAAATCACACAGTTGTTTTTTTGGTTACTGAACTGGGGAAGCAGGGACAGGCAGAAAGATTGGGATTCTGGCTTTTAGTATTTGAAAGGAATTAGGAAATCTTATAGCGAAAGGCAATACAGCCATGTTACATGTGCATGAGAGGAAGGACAGAAATTGTGCATGGCTATTTGGTGTCAAAACCTGTCCTACATAAAAATGACTTGTGAAATGTGGTAACGGGTAGGAATGTTGTGCTTTAGCAGCCAGCAGTGTTTGCTTTAAAGCTGTGCAGAGGATTCGGTATTAGGCTAGGGGTAAGGCATGCTAACAAGTGGTGGTACAATCATTTCTATACCGTGGAGCTGATCCCAGTCCTGTTGTTGCCATCACTCGCATTACTGTTTGCTAGCAAGGTGTGCAGTGCAGGACGGTGTGCCCAGACTCAGAGGGAGCGTGCATTGCATCTCATTGGTTCAGATGAGGGAGTGGTGTTGATGGGCTGCACCTCACACGATTGTTCGTGTGGTTTCTAGGCTGGGTAGGAGTGGTGAAAGTGCAGTGTGTGTATCAGGACTCCTAAAGCAAGACAGAGGAAAGGTAGGAATCTATTTCAATAGAAATACTTGTGTGATTGCTAGCTGAGCTGAGTCTTCCCTCCTCTTTCCACGCCTGCCCAGATCATGCTGTTAGCTTTGCACCCATCTTGTGTGCCTAGAGAGAAAGGTGATGGGCATGGCAGATGGGTTTCTAGATCTGACTGGGGAATGTGCTCTTCCTCACTCCCCTTCCCTTCCACAGTGGCAGGCCAGTGGCGGCTCCTTTAAGCATTATTCTCCTGTGTGTTTTGTGTTGATGACTTCAGTTCTTGCCAATTATCCAGATGATATTAAAACCAATTCTCTGAGAAGGCTTTCATCTGAAAAGGAGCGTAAAGGTGATAGGAAACTCTAAAATAACACGGAGAGAGGAGCAAATGTGAGATGAGGAGAGTGAATTGCTTTTTTTGCAGTGCAGTCGTGCAATCCAGTTAGTGAGGAAATCTCAATCACTGTTGCTTTTTAGATCTCTAGCAAATATGACAGAGCGGTGATTTGAGAATTTAAAGGTGTAAATTGACTTCCCTGTGGCTTCAGAGAGGTTTTTGGATCCACGGCATTCGACGTGAATGCGTGGAGGAGCTGACAGCACGGTTCACACAGGGAATGTAGGTCTGCGCGGTGCTTGCGGCGAGTACGTGTCTGAGGCAGTTGGCATTCCCTCAGTGCCCTCCTGCAGATCAGCTGGCGTTTGGCTATTCCCTTCAGTACAGCAACCTACACCTAGACCTCGATGTTAGAAAAAAAGCAGTTGGCCTCCATCTACACCAAGGGGGATTGTGGTGAAGCAGAAATTGGAAAGAGCTGCTGCTGCATGTGAAGCTGGGGCGCATGCACGAGACCGTTCCCCGTACCCACGCTGCCTGCTCCTTCTCTTGGTGTAGATTCTGGCATTCACTGCAGTCTTTGTTGTTTCAGGTTGGAAGTTGAGTCCTGTGGTTGGAGCGGTGTACGGCCCTGAGTTATATGCAGGTAGAGCTTCAGCAGACACTTCCACTTCTGCCATTTAACTGCAGTGGTGTTTGTTTATGTTCTCAATTTGCTGTTTCTTTATAACCTTTTTACGTTTTTTTTTTTTTTTTTTTTTTATTCTTTTTAAAATTAAATTAGCGTCCAGCTTTCAAGCAGATGTCTCGCTGGGCAATGACGCCGCAGTGCCCCTGTCAGGAAGGGGGGGTATTAACACTTACATTCCTTTAATCAGTAAGTAGCCCCCATTGGCCCCTCTCTTGTTACTGTGCTTGAGTTAACTATGACCTGTTTCCCTTCTTTTCTCCGGTCTGTATAATATATACTTGAAAGGATGGGTCTTGTCGGGAATGAGTTTACCTGTAGCCCAAGTATGCTGCGCTGTGGCTGTAACCCGTTCATCTGCAGTGTTTCTGTACTATGAATGGGTTCATCTATGTGATGAGGAGGCGGCAGACCAAGGGGAGGGTGCGTGTAAGGAATAGGCCATTCCCTTTATCTCCCTCCACCCCTTTGGAATCAAAGAAATCAAACGGACAATTCCTAAAGTACATATTATACAAGCTGTCAGGGCCCCTTGGTGTGCACCTGGGCGCACGCCGGGTTGGGTTCATGCTTCTCCACTTGTCCCTCTGGGTATGTACTCATGACGTGTCTGCAGATGCCTCTAGGGCTTCACGTCATTCCGTGGTGAGCCAGCATCGAGTGTAATGAAATTAAATGAAGAGGGGCTCTCAGTAAGCTGGCACTTTATGGGAAGTTTCTGCTGCTGTTATATGGGCTATCTTGTCTTTCAGGCTTTAAAATGAACATACAGAGGATTGGGTGGCAAAGAGTGGGAGGGGAAAGGAGGGAAGAGACTGATGTAAGTTGATTGACTTTAAGGGCCTCTTGACAAATTATTTTAAAGAGCCTCTGCAGTTTTGGAAGAGCCGCCTGCTATATTGATAGTAACTCTCTGCGCTTCTCGGACTCTAACCAGACTGCATGGCGGTGTCAGAGGGGGGGATTTGGACCCTGTTTGTGGTGGGTGAGGCATGCCAATGCATTAACCTCTTGCATGCCAAACCTCTCTGCAACCCCTCCTCCCCGAAAGGCCATGGTGTAGCAGGACGTATGTATACGATGCTTGCTGGGTTAGAAGCATGCCCCTCCGCAGGATTGATGCAAAACATCCCACCGCTGCGGAGCTCTTGTGTCACTTTGTTTGAAGCAGGCGGTTGTTCCCTGGGCAGGAGCTGGGATCCTTTTCACCTTCTCCCTTGTCTGTCTTTACAGTTCCAGGCTTCCCCTATCCAACTGCAGCCACCACAGCAGCCGCGTTTCGGGGAGCCCACCTGAGGGGCCGAGGAAGGACGGTTTATGGGGCAGTCCGGGCTGTACCTCCTACGGCCATCCCTGCCTACCCAGGGTAAGCACTGGTCACAAGAGCAGAGTGCTCTGCACAACCGTGTCAAATAATTGATTGGCTAACAAAAATGTAACTAAAATCGTCTGGATGGTGAGAGTCAGGGTATTTGCTTAGTGCCAGAGCGTTCTGCATACGATGGCATCCAATGGGGGCAGTCCTAAATTTTGCCGTATTAAGTTCCTGCCTGAGAGAATTTTCAGTACTTGCAGCAGCGTAAAGTGCTGATGTGCTCCTTCTCAGAATATCTCGATTTATCTTCTGGTATTTGTCATCCATTGATCCAATACTTTGCAGCACTACTGAGAAGGACAAAAAAGAGGGGTCTAAGATGTCCCAAAAAATTCCAACTCTCTGCACTCCTTTTGTGGTTTTCTTGCCCAGGAATGAGGAATATTATCTCTTACCTTCATGCCTCACCATCTGGCAGTAGGACAAAGAAGAGCCAGCTACCCACAATGGATTTGCTTTCTTTGTTGGAGACGGTTTAAAAAGGTTTAAAACAAAGATTAATCAAGTCCATTAATTTGAAGTTGGGAGTGTTTGGGATACAGTGAGAACAAAAGTGCAGCATTCTTCTAACTGTTGTGTGAAGCAATGCTGAATTCGCAGCCTCGGCACGCTTCTCTGTCCTCTGACTTTACACTAGTAATGCAGTGGAAGAGATTCTGTTACAAAACAATATTCTGCTGGTCAGACGTAGAAGGAATCGGTTTGGTATGTGTGTGCTTTGTTTGGGGTTTTTTTTGTTTGTTTGGTTAAGTGTGATGGAATGACAGAGATCACAAATCCCTTCCGAGCTGTCCTATTATTGTTTCTGATTTTGAGGATGCTTTGTTCGTATTGTCTCTCTAGAATTTTATTGGCCATATTTTCAGATAGATCTCTCAGAAAGGAATAGGAGCAAATCCTTCAACACAGAGAATGGGCTGATCTTTTTTTTTTTTTTCCCCCCCTCAGACTAGTTTCGAAAGGGAAGAAATTAAGCTATAAATCTTTTTATTAGAAAGGAGGAGGAAGCTACACAGATTAACAAAAGGAGCTGGCCTGATACAGATAAACTTGTATTATGATCTGTAGCAGATGAAGTGGGGAGAGCTTCTGTGGCCCTTCCTTATTGGTGTCCTGATATTTAAAGTGGAGCTGAAGGAAGCAAGGTGCAGTGGTCTAATCTTTGCTCTCAGACAAATTGTTTGTATTTAATTTACCCAAATGTTTTAATTGAAACCTCCTCAGAACATGTAGGCTTTTGAATGGAGTGGTTTTTTGAGGTCTTAGATCCATCTTTTTGCCACCTCCTTTAATTCATATGTACATCCTCTAACTTAAGCGTCTGACATGCAGCTTGTCGGTCTGTTACTCTGAAAATGACCCAGCCCTGCAAAAATAGGAGGTGCTTCACAGCAAAGCAGAGAAGCAAAGTTGAGGTACTATCTAAGAGAATGCAAAGTACCTACACTGGGAAGGTTGTGTGCTTCATCACTGGGAGTAACAGCTGGAGCGTTCCTGGCAAGAGGCTGTCACCAGGAGAGACTCAAGCTGCCTTCCATATAAATCCAGCCTGAGTCCCTTGTAAAGCATGTATTTAATTTGGAATATGGGCCAGGCTCCAATGCTTATCCTTTCCAAATGCTGTCTTGTGACTGCATTTATTTACATTACATTGGGTTTGTTTGACCCTGCTGACCAATTTCATGTCTTCGTGGGCAGCATTCTATCCAGTAAACATTTGCAGGATAGCAGTACATGAGTTGCCTTCACAAAGTGGCCCAGAACTTCCCCTCCTCCCAAGCACTGGGATGCAATTAACCAATTCTGGTGTTTATTGTTGTCATAGGCTAAATCTCTACATAATATTTTGTAGAGGGAATTTGATTCCTTACGGAATAATGTACATTGTGGTGGTGGGATCCATGTTGCAGTAACCTATAGGACAGCCACAGGTGTGGGTGCTGCTGACCCCCACTGAGTCAGGGTAGATGCCAGAAGGTCAGTCAGCAGCACATGAATGATGGAAACATAGTGAGTCTTGTGGAAGAAGGCAGTTAAGTGAGCTGTGGGTTTACTCAAATATGGTAGAGGGAACTGACTTTTCACAAAACTTAGTGGTGTTTAAGTTGCTTTAAAACCTAATGGTATCACTGAATTTGTGAGCTCAGCAGCATTATTAAAAAAATAAATAAATTGTAGAATAATACAAGCTTGTTGGAATTGCTATACTGGATCAGACCTGAGCACTGTTCAGGTTATTGTAATTTTTGACTGTGTCTGTAGTGCTAGATTCTCCAGAGGAAGGTGCAAGAAATCATATACTTCTTAAATGAATAAATTTCAAGATCTAAAGCTAGATCCAAAGCTCAGATCTATTAATGCATATGTAAAAGGTACTTAAACGTGCAGACATGAACGTTTACTCAGGAAGGGTTATTCATATGATAGAAAGCAATGGCTCAGAGCAGTGAAGAAGCTGGTGGATAGTCACCTGAGCCTGACCTCAGAGCACCAGTGCAACCCTCAAGGTATAACTGAGGCAGCATTCAGTACAAGTGTGGAGACATAGTAACCTCTGATCTGTAGTGTGACTTGAGCCAGTGCTGGAGTACTGGCCCCACTTGTAGTGGCCATGCTTTCTAAATGAAAGCTGACAAATTGCACTTCAGACCAAGAGCTGTAAGAATTAAATCAAAGCCTGGAGAAACCCCCTTGCCTACTCTAAAAGTCTCAAAACAAAACAAGTGTGATCAATTTTATTTCGCAAAATAAAATTTTGTGAAATTGTGAAATGCAGGTTTAGGCATTGGCTTGTTCATGGTCGTTAAGTACAGATACGAAGAGCAGGCTTGTCATGGTGAAGTGTAATTTAGTTTAGGAGCATAAATATATAGAAGATTCTCCCACTCAGAACCGAAAGTAGATAAAAGTCAGACTAGACATAAGGCAGTGGGGATCTTCGTGGGATTTCTTTGTTTTGTTTTGGTTGGTTTGGGTTTCTTTTACAACACAGTCAACTGTTGGTACAACTCAGTGATAGAATGGCTGCTTTACAAAATCTGCATACGTCTTGCTCTTGTGGATGTGTTTTAGCTCAGCTAGTGGGCTTTTCACGGATGCCACTGAGATATGATGGGGCTGTTTTATGCTACTGGTCAGTCTGCATAACCAGAATGGCCTCTGTGATTCTCAAGCGAAGTTTTCGTTAGCATTGAGAATCACAGATATGGATGTTTTAGTATATGAATAAACCCTGCTAAATTTCAGCCCTAGCAGTTGGTGTCAGGTCCTCACTTAAGACAGGATGCACGTGTGCTCTGTTGCTTGGGCTTGGGAAGCCTTGCTCTTACTTGCTACAGTGTTTTTTGCAGTTTTCTCTGGAGAGCTGGTGCTAGCATCTCTTGCTGACAGAATACTAAGTTACATGAACAGTGCCCTGATCCAATGTGGTAATGCTCTTGATTAATCCAACTGATTGTGTTTGGAATAACTGTTGAAACTGCTAACGTGTTCATAAACCAACAGTCACATCCTCTGTCATGCGTTTGCCTTTCCTGCAGGAGCAGGTGGAGTATCACTGCTAAAACACTCCTGATCCTAGATAGAGAACCCAGCAATGTAAGTCGCTGCCCCAGGAGCCCAATTCTTTGTTATGTGATTGTAAAAAGAAAAAAAAATTGGCTTCAACAAACGTAATCTTATGGCCTGCTTCTCTCTGCTGAAGTGGCTCCCCTCTTCCTCTAACAAGGGTCTCTATCTTTGTATCTGCTCCCAGCCCTCTTGGAGACCGTAGTAACTCTGTTCACTGGGAACGCAGTGTACTTTTCCTGGGGAAGACAGCAAGACTAAATTATTCAAGCAGTAGCTAACACTGCAACAGATTTTTTATTTATTTATTTTTATTTTTAGTAATAGCATGCAGAATTTTTGCAAGATGTGCTGGGCTTTTTTGTGTGTGCGTGCCTTACAGTAGGTGGGTGTCTGAGGGTGGCAGGCTCTTGGCAGCATTTCGCAGTAAAAAAGAAAAAAAAAAAAAGAAGTAATAATAGAAAAGCTGGCGTTCCATGCCTCGTTCTTCCTTAATGCTATTGGTAAGTCATGCGCATTAGGTCCGTGAGCATCACATGATGGGGCTCTAATGCTTTTTAAAGCTTTGAGTGAGGTTGTGCAGAGCTATTCAGAGGACAGAGCAAGAGGAGATTCCACGAAGGACAGGCTGAACGCACACGGGTGGGGGGCATACCCTCTCTTCCTTCCTTATCCTTCCCCAACCCCTGTCCCCAAAGCAAGCTGCGTAGCCCTACGCTAGCGAATGCTCTGGCAAGAGTGGTTCTTTGGGAACCCCAGGCTCCAGTTTAACGATTTTTCCTGCTTGAAGTTCTGAGAGAAAGAAATCGATGGCTTAAAACAGAAAAAGTATCATCCCATGGAAACCCTTCCAGTTGCTCCTCTCTGCTATGGAACATGTCATTACTACCAGGGACTCCCACTGCACCTTTCAATTCTCGGACCTTGGACCAGTCACCTAACCTTTTTAGCTCATTATCTCTGCTTGTGAAAGCAATGCATTGTGGGTATTTTTGGTTTTTTCTTTTTAATTACATTTCTCTGTGTTTACTTTGATCAGAATTGATTGACTTGTTTTCCTGAGGTGTTGCATTGGTTCTTTAAGATGCTGAATAATAATACTTTGCATGCTTGTGTGATCAGCCAAATCTTATCGCATGTCTAATGTGCAGGGTAAAAGCAGGTGATGTATGGATGTCAGAAACAAAGCCAAGCAGCCCTGTGAAGCTCGAAATACGTAATCGTACACAGCTCTCTGAAACGTGCTTCTGACATAGGTGATTTCAGCCCCCGTGGGATGCCTTCTGAGGGGCCTCTCGATTTCCAAGCCCACTTCATGAAGCCAATGTTTCCATGTGTGTAGGGGGTAACTTAAACAATTCCAGGAGAATAACCAGAGCGGAGGTTTCTAAACCCTTGTTTCTCTTCTTCAGGACATCAGATCTTTTTGAGTCTATTTTTATTGTACAAGATGGTCGTTCCCCTCCCTCTCTCCTTTGCATACTGTCTCCCCCTCTGCCCGCCCCTTTCCCCTTTGCATGCCATGGAAGATGACTTGGAGCCGTCTAGCGTGCGTGCGCACACATTCTCTCGCTGATTTGCTCCTGCCAAAAGCCCAGGTTATGGATTCATACATCACCTGCCTGTGTAAAACGCATGTGCATGCTGCCGTCCTCAATAACCGGAATGTGTTTTCTGTTCTTTTGTTTTTTGTTTTTTGTTTTTTTGTTTTTGTGTGGATTTTCTGCAGTGTGGTTTACCAGGACGGATTTTACGGTGCTGACCTCTATGTAAGTACACACACCGGAGCCTTCTCATCCCCAATCCCTGACAAGCCAGCCTTTTTTTTTTTTTTTTTTTTTTTTTTTTTTTTTTTTTGGTTTGTTTGTTTGATTTGGTTTGTTTGTTTGGTTTTTTTTTAAATATCATTTACTTTAATTTTCTTCTTCCTTGTGGATATATATTTATATATTTAGGAATGCAAGCATGCTTCTCTGTCACTGCGCTTGCCCCTGGGTGCAAGACCTAAGCCTTTGGGTTTCCTGATCATTGCCAGGGTCAGTTTACTGGGTGTCCTCTCCCTCACATGCACACTGCTACTAATCAACCTGAGAGATGATTAGCGAATTAAAATTTCTCTCAACACTTCTCTCATTTACATAATTTGGATATAAAAATAACAGGACTGGTTTAGCCTCAGACCTTCCCTTTCCTTCTCCCCCTCCACCCTCCCCTTTCTCTCCACTCTTGGGACCCTTTCAGGTTTGATTTGTGCAGCCCACACTAAACGGAGCCGACTGGATGTTTAAAAATGTTCGTGTGCCACTGGGATGTGGAACTTATCCCTTTGGGGAAGACACTGGGACTGATTAAAAATGGAGGCTGAGATGCTAGAGTGAAAACTGACACCTCAGTTTGCTAGGTAAAGTGGTACCTAAATAGGCGAGATTCTCTTAGGTCTTTGGGGAGTTGTAAAGTACAAATATGTGGAGATGTTCAGTTAGAAAAGCCAGCAACCTACTCCTGTTTGGCTGTTAGCTCTGGTACCACAGGAGACGTTGCCCTGTAGTTGTCTTTATCCTACCCAGCCAGCTGGTATAACACATCTATGAAGTGTCTGTATAAGCAGCTGGGTTGTGGCCATTGTGGGTCTAAGGACTCTGGCCAGCAAGAAAAGCCTTTTCCTCTCAAGTGGAGAGCTGTTGTAGAACAGTTCTGATAGGAGTATGCCTTTCAAAGCCCAAATGTTTAGGCCTACTGCTGCCATCACTACCTGTGGCCCGTCTAGCTCTTGTGTAGCATTTGTAGGAAATAGTTCTTTGGAGCTGGGGGAGCTTTGTATTGGTAGTGGCATGGCTGTCAGCATGGATTTCATGTCCCTGCTCCTTTGAAGATGCTACTCCTGACATTTATGAAGAGGACCCTGGGGGCTAGACTGAAGATAATGGATGGAATTAGCTTTTGGATTTTGTTGGCTTATATGGAGGGTCAGGTCTTATAGGGGCACTTTTCCCAGCGCAGTTACAGCAGTCAGAAGACATGCTCTCTAAGCACGGAGATTTTGGGTGTGCTTCTTCATGCTTACATGTGCACATCCCTCTAAAAATTGATCTGCCTAGTCAGGTGTTACTTTATAAGATGGTAGTCACTGACACAAGAGTTCTGGGTTTTCTCACCTCAGTCCTAAAATGTCAGCTTTATAGACCACTGGTTTTGCTACAGCAGGCAAACATGAGAGCAATACCTTCTGCTTAGTGCCTCTTCCCTCAAAGTACATGTAAAAGGTTGTCATGTTGAAAGGGAAGACTGGTCAAGGTTACTCCCCATTTCTTTTCAGAAGGCTCCTTCAGAGCTTCCATTACTGGTGGGGGAGAGATTCTTATCGAGCACATTTTAGAGACAGTGACTTCAGCAGTGAAGAATACCGTCATCACTTGGTGCTGCAGTGCAGTAGCATCATGTAGTATGTAACAGCCTCCACATCAGGATAAAAGTGGGAGGTGAACTTCTGGTGACTTTGCTTTCAGTTGCTCAGGTCTCATTGTGAGAAAGCAGGACAGCAGAATAGGACAGTAATCAAGGGAGATGATGGTCTGTTATCCTGTATTACTGCTGCCCAGCACCATATTACAGAGCTCAGGAGAAAAAGCTGTCCTAATACAAAGTTGCTGTTCCAGGCAGTTTGCTAATTGGCACATGCAGAAGGGTTGCAACATACCTGTGCCTCTTGGTGTACAGTGCTATTCCCTGCAGTGCTTACATCTTTCTCGTTGCCATGAAAGGATTGTGCAGATCACAGAAGGGAAAGCAGAGGGTTCTTTGATTAGGCTTAGTCCTTTCTGGTTGGATTAGAGGGAAAACTGAACTGAGGCTCCCTTCTGAGTCAAGGCAAAAGGTGGCAGAGACCCTGAGCTAGGTAGGAAGGAGAGGTTAGCGGTAGGTGAGACAAAGGGGAAGTGTCCCAAACTTGGGCTGTATTTTCCACATAAGTGCTGTATACCAACTTCTCATTTTCCTCCTCCTCCTCTTCCTCACTCCTTCTTTCTCTCCTGGGGCAACCAGCCTGCTAGCCACGTCTTCTCTGATGAGGGCACTCCATCTCTTGTTGGATGCGTCCCACTCTGGCAAGACACCTGAATTCATAAACCAACCAGCCCCAGGATGCAGAGGGCTTCATTTCAGATCCTAAGGAAGGTTGTTTTTCAATGGGTTTAATCTGGGGTGGAGGGGAAGAGGAAAAACAAAACAAAAACACAAACCACCCCACGTTGCAAAGACCACTCCTGCCTGTGAAAAGCGTGCTTGCATCCACTGGAAAGAAAAGGCTGGTGAGCCCCACTGTGGGCTGTTTGTATGATTGTTTCTTTCCACAGCTGTGTTTTTTTGAACTGCTCTTCCTGTGTTCTGTTATAGAATAGTCTTACAGGAACCAATCATTAGCGCTAAAATACCTCAGGTAGGAGTGCCAGTGTGACCTGCCAACCAATCAGATTGTGGATTGCAGTGGAAAAAACTGAATTATACTAACCATTCCAGCACCACATTAGAGATGGGAACAGAGGCTTTTTTTAGGGCAGCGCAGACTCCCGTGTGAGCCAAGCCCCTGCTGTAGCAAGGTGGCATGTGTCCAGATTTCACACCGAGTGGCATTTCATTCAAAAAATATATTTATGTAAATTCAGTTGGAAGAGTTAACAAGGTCATGCTTGTCCCATTACCATGTAGAAGCACCTGCTGGCTGCAATGGACACTGTTGTCCTGTCACCTCTTTTAATTCATTCATGCTCATTCCTGGTGCACGTATGCCACCCTTCTAATACAGAAACGCTGGAAACAGTTCTAGCCCATTCTGCTTCTGACTTCTGCTCTAGGGCAGTTTTGGAGTGGAAGACACGATCATGCTTCAGCAAATTAAAGATCCCTAAACTGGGCTCTCAGTCTAAACCTGGCAGGTGGTCAAATGTGTCTAACTCACACTAACAAATGTGTGAGTTAAATGTTTCTTAGTGGCATAAAGAGCACCCAGCCACACTCTGTGTGCCTAAGGCAGCAAGGGATGAAGAAAAGCAAAGCTTATAACCATAGAATATGCTGACACAGTAAGCCGTAGGTTTGGATTTCCTCATATTCCCATTGCAATGATGTTCCCATTGCATTGAACACCTAATATGTGCCCAAAGAGCGGAAGAGAAGATGGGACTTCTTTTGAGCTGAAATATGTAGTTTTAACATGCTCATTTATCTACATTAACATGTTCCGTAATTGGAACGCTGCTCTAGCTGGGATTGCAGTTTCCTATCTATGTTGTTTTGCCAAGTTTGTCTCATTCCCTGAAATAACACAATATTGAAAAAGCTGTCATCTAATGCTAAGAAGGGATAAAAAAAGTTTGGGTTTTTTTTTTTTTTTTTTTTGCTTCCTTAATGAGCCAAGGATAAAAGCATGACAGAAGAGTCATTTGAAATATGGGTTTTTGTGAACACCTGGACAAATCCAGTTGTTTGCCAATTGAGATCAATAGACTCGGGCTCTCTACACATTCTCATGAGAAAGGGGGTCCAGCATAGTCCCCAGCAACACTGGCAATATAACAAGAGAAAGAGAACTTGAGTTAAAATAAGCGGCATTAAAAATTGTGTTAATTTATCTCACGTTCTCTCCAGACAATCCAAAAGATTATACCAGAAAGAAAGTCTTGATTTAGACAGTCTTTTTGATTGTTAATTGTTGCCCGGTAAAAATGCATAAGCTGAGGCTGCCCTTGGACTGTCCCATAGATAAAAACATCTCGGACCTAGCATCTTCACAAGAAGCTCAGGCACGCTCATTTCCTTTGAGACGAGGCTAATGATTTTAAAGACTGAACCTAGATGGGTAAACCACTTCACATAAATAGATGGAGTGGAAATTTGCATGGCTGTCCTGGGTTTCAGGGATCATGCCACTCAACGGTGTCTTCTGTTGCAGTCTGGAGGAGTGTGGTGCAGCTAGCAAGGGCCTTTTTGAAACTATTATTTATGTCATTGATAAACATGATTGCTCACGTTTGTTGAGGATGCTCTACATCGTTACAGATTTTACTTACTGTAGTACCTGAAGTGAGTGGCATCAGGAATCTCTAGGAGTGGTAGGACCTTGTAGCCGAGGTTACGGGCGAGTTTTGTACACTAGTTAAAGTTGTCTGCAAACACGAAGAGGAGGAAAACTGGTGCACTGGACAAGCTGAGTAGGGCTTCAGATGCATTGAGGGAATTACACGTGGGTCCTGGGTTACAGAGAACGGGAGCCTCAGCTGGGTCAGGCAACCTGCACAGCGTCTCCTTCGCTCTGTACCGCTCCCAGAGCTTGACAAAAGTCTTGATGAAATCAAAAGGAGTAATAGCTGTGACTTTCTCCTCTTTCCTTCAGCCTGTTTTGGTGTATTTGGACCTGCTGGTCATGCTAAATACATCCCCGTGTCAGAAATCCCTCAGCTGTCCGCACTCATTGCTCCTATGACAGGACCGTACCATGGCCATTATAATCCCCATTTTTGGTTTTATTTGGAGTACACACAAGTAGAATTTGCAGACTGCTTTGAGCCAGGCAGGTCTGCCTGTGCGTGTGTACCTGTATCCTGTGACTTTATTTATTTTTTTTGAAATTAACAGTAGCTTCAATTTTGCATCAGTGCATGGTTAAAAAGCAATACACGTCAGCTATTCCTTAACTTCATTTCTCCAATGAATTATTTCTCCTGTGTTTTTTTTTGTTTTTTTTTTTTGTTTGTTTGTTTGTTGTGCAGTTGACTGAAGAAATGTTAACATCCCGCTCTAAATCTCTCAGTGGAGTCTCTGTTCCCTTCTCTGATATAACAGATGGGTTATTGCTTGTTATAATTATTAACATTGTGGTGTGGGACAGGGCATGGGTGGGAGCCATTTCGGGGGGGGGGAGGGCGGGAGGCTGCGGGAGTTGTTGAGGTTGGAATGTTAACTCCAGTGGTGACTGACTGTTTCCGTAATAGCAGGTTGTTGTGGCTGCACGCTCTAGTACTTGAGGCTGTGTACTTCACTGAGCTTGTGGTAGAGCCTAGGGCGAACTGCTGTCCCAAGAGAATGCTGGGATGGATAGAACTAGCCAATATGAGTCTGAACGTGGTGACTTTGCTGGTTGTTCTAGCTCCAGATGTCAGCATGCTTAGTTTTTAATTTTGATTAATAAATGTTACGCCATCCCTCCCCCCCTTCCCACACCTGATTCCGACCCTTCTTTTCTTCTTTCTTGTTTTGGTTTGGTTTGGTTTCGTTTCCCTTTATGAGAGATATGAGTTAAAAGAGAATTACTTGATAACCCTTTCTAGGTTTCAAACTGCATCTTGCTCTCATGTGTAGGGTGTGTGCCGGTCACATTTGAAATGGCTTCCGATGTGACACATGGCTGATGGGTGAGAGGGAGAAGGGGACAGTGCTAGGAAAATTTTGCTTCTGTGCCATGCCCAAGTGACAGACTGCACCAAGAGTTCACTGAGGTTGGAAGCTTAAGGAAATACCAGGAGGTCCTAATTTGGTGAGGTCGGTCAAGGTTTCCTTTGGATTGCCCTTTGTTTGTCTCATCTCCCTCATGTTTTAGAGCTGAGGGTAATAGTGGTGTGATGCTAGCATGCCAGAAATGAGGCAGACCTCCCCAGACCATCAATTTGAAATGCGTAGATTGAAACAACTTGTTAAGAGCAACGTGGTGATTGAATTCACTCTTAAAGATTCATGTTACTCTCTTCTGTTAACTAGAAGACTGAAGGCCTAGCAAGTCCCTCTCCTCCAGAGTAGGAAACCACCCCTAGGCGTGTTTTGAATAGCCCTTCCACAGGGGCAAGCAAAATGAAGTTAAAGTCATGGCCTCTATTTGAAAAACTATCTGGCCCAAAACTGAGAGCTGCTGAGCAAAGACAAATCACAGAATCATGGAAATTGTAGAATGACATGGGAGGGAAGGGACGTTAAGTTCCAACTCCCCTGCCACAGACAGAGTTGTCAACTGCTAGATCAAGTACTAGACCAGGTTGCCCAGGGCCCCATCTAACTTAGCCTTGAGTGCCTCTGGGGATGATGCATCCACAACCTCTCTGAGCAGTCTGTTCCAGCACCTCAACGCTGTTAAAAAAGGAAATAAACAAAACCTTCCCCCTGACATCTAACTTAAATGTCCCCTCTTTTAGTTTTAAACCATTCCCTCTTGTCCTTTCACTGTCTACCTGTGTAGATATAAAATCATTACAGGTGGAGAAGACCTCTAAGATCAAGTCGAACCATCAACTTATCACCACCATTCCACTAAACCAAGTCCTATACTAGAGCATGTCTTGTGCTCTTAGTTGCATACAACCATAAGATCTATAGGGAAAAAGTGGTAGTGATATTTTGAGCCAGTGCCGGAGGTGAAGAGCATAAGTCTGCCTTCTGGTCCTTCAAACTCTGAAATGTCAGTTAAAAAGGAAAAGGAAAAAGCCCGAAGCAATCTGGAGTTTTCCGATGTTATTTACGGCTCGTTGTGTTTCTGGCAAATCAAACCCATGGTTCATTTACCATTGCACCTCCCCCCTCTCTCCCAAGTTAACAAAAACATATTCAGATGCGTACAATCAAGAAAGATCTGACCTTGGCTTCAGAGCTTCGTCCTGACTGCTACATGCAGCCCTTGTCCCCTGGTCTGAAAGCTGGCTGGTGTCCATCCCTCATTGTTGCGAGGTGCATAAAGCCATGGGTCTGAGCCTGGGCTTCTTCTGCCCCCAGAACTTTTGGTGTGAATTCCAGCAGGACACTCCCAAGTCTCCCTCTGGGTCAGGATCCGTGTTTCACCTACTCAGCTGGAGCTGTATTTTCAGGAACTGCCTCTTCTGAGTGTAACAGTTTTAAAGATCTTTGATACAGATGTGTAGCATAGATAGAAATGCAGCAGCAGTACAGGCTGTTCTGACATAATTTCTGCCAACCTGTTTCCTTCTTACTTCAAGGGAGGGGTATCTGTGGTGGTTTGCTTGTTGGCACCCCTGAGACCACCAGAAGTTTATCTCCCTGACCATCATTTCCTGGTTGCTTTTTGGCTTTTCTGACTATTGATGTTTTTATGCATCTGAACCAAAAGAAAACCTATCCTTTTGGGTCTCCCAGGCTTAAAAAAAAAAAAAAAAAAAAAAAAAGAGAGAGAGACAAAAGCAAGGGGGAAAAAAGCAGGAGTTTGTCTGAATTATGTCCTTTCTAATATACATGCTTCACAGAAAGTGCCCACCTCTGATTTCCCCAGCGTAGGAGGAAGGGGACTTAGAAATTATGTTGCATGCAGTATTTCAGCTCTCTTCTGGATTTCTGTTTCCACATGCCAAATTTAGTTTCTTACTGGGATATCACCATGCTCAAGCTTGCTTTAATTTATTGCTTCTGTTAAACGGGGTAATGGAAGAGTCTTCGTAGTCCTTCTGAGCAAAGGAAGACGTGTGTGCTAATGGGCGATGCTCGTAATATACGTGACATGGGAGCTGATGCAGTTTGAAACACTTCCTCTCCTTGTGATGTGTGATTCCTTTTTATTTTATTTTTTTCTCTCCGTGGGTGGACAGGTATCTGTAAAGTCAGTTCTCTTCTCTCCTGCAGGGTGGATACGCAGCCTACAGATATGCACAGCCTGCTACTGCAACAGCAGCCACGGCCGCTGCAGCCGCTGCAGCAGCTTACAGCGATGGGTATGTAAGGGGCAGGCAACCACGGGGCTGGCTTGCTGTGCTCAGAGATCTGAGGAGCTGTGATCCATTACAGTTCTTCTCTACTTCTTTCCCCATTTCTTTGTCTTACTTGCACTCGCACACATGCATGCACTGCCCATCGTGAAGGATGAGTGCACGACTTGTCTCTGCTCCCAGGCAGCATTGCCCTCTGGTGTGTGTGAGCCGGCACGAATCCTGGCCCCTTCCTTAGCCTGGGGACTCCTTGTGCAAAGGAGGAGGTGTGGTCATGGCTCAAGGTTGAAAGCCCTGGTTGGCATTGCTGGCTCCTTGCTCTCTGACTCTGAGCAGGTTGCTCCATCACTGCGTGCATTTCTCTCCCCATCCAGAACTTAAAAATTTCTCAGCTCATATGGCATAGGGTGCTTTAACATGCAGCTCCGTATAAATGCAAAGGATGATCATCATCAGAGTGCTCACCATCAGATTTTTCATCTCCTGTGCAGTGAGGCTGTGTTTTAATCTTAGCACACGTGAGAGCATTGAAGTTCATGCTCCCTTCTCATTCTGGAGAGCCCCACACTACTTTCCATTCAGCAGCTGGTATTGTGCCAGTAGCACCGGCTTTGGGGGCTCACCCTCCTCCCCTACCACATCATTCGAGGCGAGGGCTGCAGTAGTTGCCACGTGCAAGGTGCTGACCTCTTTCCTACAGGTTGAGCTCCTGGTGCTGCCACGTCCCTCCTCGCAGGCCTGTCTCTCGCCCATCTCATACCGTGCATGGCGGCATGCCCGTAGGCTCTCTTCCAAGAGGGGCAGCCCATGTGCATGTGTGTGCATGTATGCATACATGTGTGTAGAAGGGCATGCTGCTTCTTCCATTGCCTGTGGTCAGATAGCTGTTTCTCTGCCCCTCCAAAGTGACTCTCTTTCTCTTTTTTTGTATGTTTTCTCCCTCTCTTCAGTTATGGCAGGGTGTACACAGCAGATCCTTACCATGCCCTTGCCCCTGCCGCTAGCTACGGAGTTGGCGCTGTGGTAAGTGCAATTTTCTTTCTTGTGCTGTTTCTCAACCCCGGCGTGGGGAACAGCTGCTCACTGTGTGTCGGGTACTGGAACTTCATCCAGAAAGATTTCTTCATTGAGGGAGGAGGTCCCTAGCTGCAGTGCCAGCTCCCTTGTAGTTGTGCATTCGTACGTCTGCATGTGTGTGCTAGGAAAGGAGCCAGGTTTAGGAGAGCAGATATCACTCAGTATTGCACACCTTGTACGAAGGAGGTGGTGGGAGGATCACTAGAAACTTCGGGAATCAGAGTGTTGTAGGTGCATTGGTACATCTGTATCAGGGAGGTGGACAGAGCAAGAATCGGCAGTGGCTGAAGATGCAGGACGTTCTTCCTTATCTTTTTCATTAGCTTTAAGGGCTCTGTTGCATATTGAGAAATCAGTGTGAGGTAGGGTAAGGGAATAAGTTGTTCTTGTGACATCTTGCAGCAGAGCTACTCCACTTGGTTCCCTCTTCCGCTAGCAGAAGCATGCGGTGTCCTGCTGCCAGCAGCGGTTATGCAAGGGCAGGAATGAGGTATGCTGGCATCGCATGGGAGTGGCACAGCTTGCTGAGAACACATGCCTGCCCATCTGCTTTTAGCCAGTGCAGTATCTGTGTTGCTGCAAAGGCTGGAATGCAAATGTGTGCGGAGAAAAAGTGCACCTAAATATAGATGTCTGCAGTGTAGCACCTCCGTTTGAGCCGTAGCTCATCATGTGGATTCCTTTTAGAGTCAATGGAGGAAGCAGAGGTTCTTCTAGGATAGCAGGTCATCGTGCCTCTGTCAGACCTGTACATTAAGCTGAGGTGAAGAGCATCCTAGAAGTGCACTTCTGCTATCTGAAACATCAGCCTAGACAACTGGCTTAGAGGGTAGGACTCATGAGTCCCTCTCATACTGAGGTCTCCATGCCTGGGACTTGCCAGACTTCCCCTCCAGCTGGCTGCCTGTGAGCCCCTGAGCTACGGCTTGCTTTAGCAGGCAAGGTGATCTTTTGTCTCTTAGATGGTGGCAGGTCAGAGCCAGGTCATGTCCACTAGTCCTGAGTGCCTCCAGGCATGGATTGCCCTCCTAACACCCTCTTCTTTTCTCGTTTGATTTCTACAGGCGAGTTTATACCGAGGTGGCTACAGCCGATTTGCCCCCTACTGAAGTGACGTGAGCCCCCTGCAAGTGGGACAGCCCCCCCAGTTCATGAGGCCTGGCTATTGCAATATTTACTAGTAGAGGAACTCTATAGCAAGATGAGGAGGAAAAACAAAAACAAAAGAGAATACTTTTTTATACCTCACTATGTTCTTTGAATATGTATTTTTTTTTCCTTTAAATTTCTGCCTTTAATTCTTTTGTTCCAAAGATTGTGCTTTTTTTTTTTTTTTTTTTTTTGGATTTTTTGTTTGTTTTCTTTTTTTTTTTTTAATTATTATTTTAACTGTGGTAAAAAAAAAAAAAAAGATAATGCATTTCCGTGTCTGTATGTTGGTGCATAGCTTATCCTACCAATCACGGAAAAGGCGATTAGCGATAAGGAAAGCTGTTAGAAACTGCTATTAATCAGGAACACGCAGACAGAGTTACTGCCCTGGGCCTGGTGCTCAGTGCCCAGGAGGCAGGAGGACATGAGGGAGAAGTCTCCACCTGCCGTGTTTCTGCTCTGCAGAAGGAAGCGCTCTTTGGCTGTGGCTGGGACCTTAATGCTGGTGGGAGATTTTGCATACGGAGAAGGGGGAAATGCGGAGACTTCCCTCCTTTTTTTTTTATCAGCACCCGACGCGCACGGGTTTGGGACAGCTGCAGCAGTGTCAGAACTTTAGACTCGGCGAGAGAAGATTTCCTCAACCTGCCCAAAGACTTTGGCTGTTACCGCTGCATAGGGGACAAGACTTTGAAAGGAGTTTTTGAGGAGGAGGATCCTTCCCTCCCACACACACAACTTACTCTAGCTGATCGTTGTCCATTGCTGGTGGCTGTAACTCTCTTAGTTTTCCATCCTCCTTTTCGAGACCCTTCTCCCTTGCTGTCCCTTTGCTCCCTCTCTTCCTCGAGGAGCGACTGATGCAGTGCAGCATCACACAGTACCTCTGCTGCGGACAGCAAGCGGTTCCAGCTGAGTGCAGCCATGATGATGAAGAAAGCTGTGGCTGAAGAAGCGTGCATCAGTGCTGACATCCAGCCAGCAAGGTCTCTCCTTCTGCTCATCCTTAGCTGCTTAGGCACTGCAGCGAGCAATCTGTTTCAAGTAACGTGAGTGAGGAAAAGCAAGTCAGTGTATAAGCTGCTGAGGCGAGGGGCATACGCACGTGGGTTTGTCTGGGGAAAGAGCGTCCTTTATGTTCAAACGTGATCCTGAAGTGGTTTTGTTTCGGTCAGGAGTTTGCGGGAAGGCAGGAGCAGTGTGTTCAAGCTCTGAATTCATAGGAACTTTCCACCACAAGCTATATATCTAAAGCCCTTTCGGTCACATTGGAGCCCCGGGTCTGTTCTGCCCAGCCTCCCATAGAAAGTTGCGCACCTGGGCTGCTGGGTCCATAATGACACTACATACGACACCATTTTGGAAGTGAAGAGCCTGCTCGGGGTACAGCTCTGTGACTCACCCAGCACTGTCTTCCTTCTCTCCCCAGCAGCGATTTGGCTGGGCCACAAGGTTGGCATTCTTGGCTGACCTCCACCCTAGGTTCCCAGCAGCCCCGGTGCTCGGAGGGAAGTGCTTTTACATCATCCCTAACCCGGGTTAGAGAAGCGTGGTTCCACTGGGCTGCCTCAACTCTTGCTTCTTGGAAGGACTTCTTGGAGCATGGGTTTGTTGGTGGAGCCTCTCCTACTTCTGCCATACCCTGCTTCTCCATCCACTGCTGATAGCAGAATAGGAAATCTCCTGTATTTAACACTAAGCATTGTCCACAAGCTGGGCTCCAGGGGGGAGGTATCTGGCCCAGCCATGCACAGCCATGCGTTCTTTGCTCTCCCCCAATGAAACGCAGCCTCTCTGGGTGCAGCAGAGGGGAAGGATGGGGAGGCCGTTAGTTAAGCTAGAGACCCTAAAGCTATTGATTCTCTGGAGGAATAGCTAGAAAAAGGGGACACCAAACTGCCAGCCTGTTGGCCACCTTTTGCTGTTTTTTTTTTGTTTGTTTGTTTTTTTCCTGGTTTTATTGTTGGTTTTCAATTTTTTTTTTTTTTCCAAGCCAAAGTTTGGTTTGTTGCTGTTGTGACGATTTTTTTTGTTTGTTTGTTTGTATATAAATATTTTAGTTAGATTGAAAAAACGGGGAGGGGGGCACAGGGTGTTGGGGCTTTCACAAAAACTAGGAAATGAGAGGGAATCGGGGCTCCTGGGGGCTGTTGTTGAGCTGCAGGAGTCTCTGTGGTAGGAGCAGTGTGAGGGGAGCCGTGCCCACTGAGGGGCTCACACCCCTCTGCCCCTTCCCTGCAGTTCGGCTCAGTTGGTTCTCACCCTTCTCACCCACTCCCAACTCTTCCTCTCGGGCACGGGAGGCCGGCCCCATTTCTGCCTCCCAGCAGAGTCTATGCACGGCAGCTTCAGCCCACCCGCATCTGTTGAGAGGCCCAAGGGGCTTCATTGTGGTGCCCCACTGTACGATCTCCAAGTAAAACCTGCTCCAGAGCATCCTGGTTCCTCCTGCTCCCATCGCTCCCCAACAGGCTCACAAAGTCTGAAACGTTGCAGTGAGCAGTGGGAGTGCTGCACTCCCCCTTGGCAAACAGCAGGTGTAGATTTGCTTGGATCGTAATGAGGTGCGTTCAGAGCAGCCAAGCCTTGGCTATACTGTCTTCTGGAGGAGTGAGGACAGAGCCTATATCTCCCTATGCAAAACGAGTTGCTCTTAATGAGTTTAACTGGGTCCTGGCTTGTCTGGCAGACAGCAGCTAACGTTGTCCCTGAGGCGGCTCTGCAGGCGAGTCCCCAGGGCTTGGCTTTGACAGGGGCAGCACAGGCTGGCACAGAGCTTGCTGCTGTCACCTCTTGTCCGGTGGCACCCAAGGGTTCTTCTTGGTGCAGAGGATGGAAAGTTCCTCTGAGTGTTGCTGTCTGTTCTGTCTTACAGCAGATCTGGCCAGTGCACCATGTTATACCGATATAATTTTGAGTTGAAGAGCTCCTTTTTTTTCTATAGCGTGCCGGTCTGTCTTTCCTTGAGGTATAGTTGTGCTGGTATACAGCTGAATTCTAGTGGCATAGCACACACTCTACTGGGAATAGGTCTCATCGGTGCCTGGCGTGCAGCATAACCCTCTCCCTGCTACCCAGCTGCTAGGAAAAGCTTTAGGAAAAGCTGTGCTGGGAGCTGAGCCAGCGGGGAGCTCACCCAGGTCTGGGTGGATCCAGAGAGGGGTTTGGAGAGACAAAGCCATGTTTTGAAGTAGCCTGAGGGAGAGCAGGCTGGCCCAGCGAGGGCTTGCTCAGGAGACCTGTGGTTCAGTCAGGGCTCTGTCAGTGACCTTCACATCACTGCCCTAGGCTTGCTTCCCCATCCCTAATGCACAGGTAATAGTTTTTTCCCCCTTTCTCACCCATTTTATCTGTGGAAGTGTGCAGCACGAGGGCTGTCAGAGTACCAGGCTCAGGTGTTAGCTGCGTACCGTTGGTGCCACCATCTCATCGCCTGCCCGCCCTTCTCATCCTGGAAGGAGATGTGGGCTGCTTGCTGGTATAGAGAGCTCCTGAAGTGGGGAGCGCAGAGCCCCTCAGTTGGTTCCTACCCACATACATCCCCTTCTCTGTCTGCATCCCAGCTCAGCCCCAAAGCAGGAGATGGGCGGAGAACGTGTTGGGGGGCACTTGGAAATTTATCAAAGGGAAACCACCGTGAGCTCTGGGTTCGGCTCCGCAGGGGAAGCGTGCGGGGAGCTGCAGCCCTTGGTGCAGAGGGTGATGGTTGAAG